ATACTATACTGCCTCATTAAAGTAAAAGTTAGCAACATATCCATTTCCATACGAAAAAAAGTGTTAGATATCATTATACTTAATGTAATTGCTATGAAGAATATTCCTATTCTAAACAGTGCCAAGTACAAAAGAAATTGAGACAATTTAATTACAAGGGAAAAGTATTTTACTACCCAGTTTCCTCTTTTACCGTTTAATCAAACGGAATAATTATTCAGGACACTCTGTAAACTTCCTTCACGACTTTTGAAATTAATCCTGATTTGTTTAACATCTTGTTTGCTTTACATCTTCCAATGTCATAGAACATGAGTTATTTGTTATGAACGTTTGCATTAAAAGATATTCTGCTATCGGCAAGGTAAATAAAGCCAAAATACGAAGGTTAAGCTAAATTAGAGTTGTTTTATTGAGTGTAATTAGGTTAATAAACCCAATAAAATCAATAAATTTACCATAGCTATGCGTTACATTGAGTAGCTAACCTAATAAGCATGTATAAGTGACCCCCATTTATGTACACAATACTCAATAAAACTAGGTGGTTTAACGAACTTAGATAACATACATGTACTTACTAAATATAGGTAAACAATAAAACTGCGGATTTTTTCTCTCTCTCTAAAGTTTTTCTCTCTGTAAAGTTTACATGAAAGACAGCATACCCTGTAAAAAATTTAATTTATTAATTTTTTTTTTCAATTTCTTTTACTAGTATAAGTTATTAAAATTATAAACATTTCTAAGGAGGTTATTTTATCGAATACCGTACCTAAAGCTTTTGAGATTAGCCTAGCTGATCCGTTTTTCACTTTTTTAAATCGTACTTTTATTAAACTATTACGTTTTAAGTATGATTTTGAAGTTTGTCTTATGTAATAGCACCAATAATGCTGCGACAATAACATTTTTACACCTACCACATCAAGCAAGAGGTGTGTAGGATATAACTTCCAAAGCCACTATTATTTACCCAACTAATAGCAAACAATTTAAAATGGAAACTAATGAAAATGAAAATGTCAAGGCAATAGCTGGTTCAGCGGTTGAAGCAATATTTTATTAGACACAAAAAATTGAGCCTCGTCCAAAAACTCATTGATCTTATCTAGGCTTCGACAATTTAAAACCTATTAATTAGCAGTACGTTTACTTTTTGAGTAAACGGGGAGCGAGCTGGCATAGTGGTTAGAGCGTGGGACTTCAGTCCCTGGGGTCCCGGATTCGATCCCCGCCAAGTCACCAATGGATTTGATCTTAGTGATAATGCCGCAACCCCTAGGTCTAGCCTGAAGTAATGTGAAAAACAATCCCAGGTTCGTTCCTAACGTTCTAGGACAAAAAAAACCTATTGAGTAAAAAAATCAGTCTGTACCAACAGCTAACAACATTTCCCTTTTTTGGAGGTTTCACTCAATTTATCCTGTTTATTTCTAAACAGTAGAGTCAGGTAGACAATTAAGCCTGGAACCTCTTTTTTTTAAATTTTCAAACCATAAAAAAATACAAAAGTTCACGCTTGCTTACTGGTGATAGTAACAAACACATCTGCCTAATTACGAATCGGATAACCCTTTTGGGTGACGATCCACAAGGAGCCAGACAAAATTCTTAAATAGCAGCATAGGTCGAGTTTGGTATCAAATTGTCCGTTGGTAAAATACAATCCCACAAATCCGAACTCAAACGGACAACCAAGTCAAAAGTGGCAGCTACTGAAATATTTCTTTAATCTGCCATTTAAAATTTCTGGACGGCTGCTCTTACCCAGCTAATATTTTGAGCTCAAATTTGCGACATTGTATTAAACTAATAAATACCTTTAATGTGATGTGCATATCGACCTATACCTACGTTTATGATTTTCATTCAACTTCTAGCGGACGCCTCACAAATAAGCATTACAAATTCAAGGAATATTTAAACAGCTGTCATTTCTTACTCCATTGTCCGTTTAATTTAGTGTTTGTGGCATTTTATTTTACTAAGGGAGACCCTTAATTTGGTACCAAATTTGACCTATGCTGCTATTTAAGAATTTTGTCTGACTCCTTGTGAACCGTCACCCAAAGGAGTTATCGGTTCGGCAATTGGAAAGATTCGTGCGTTACTATCACCAGTAAGCACGTGTGAACGTTGGTATTTTTTCTATCCTGTTTAAAAATTAAAAACAAGGTTTCAGACTTAATTGTCACTCTGGAAGATAACAACTTAAAGTTTAGGTATGATTCACTAATAACAGCATCCACTTGATCTATAACCCCACGATTTCAATACCCGCCTTTACTATATTCACATACAAAGGGGAAAAACAAAAAAACTAACCCACCTCAACTATGTAAGCTCAAATTCTTCCTATCATCCTAATTTATTGAAAAAATATATACTTTTATCATATACAGTGTGTAAAAAATGTCTCCCCCCCTATTTATTTTTTTTATTTTTTAAAATAATGAAATATCGTTTGGGGAGTGATAGTAACATAACGTGAAGTTTCTTTTGACATAGTTAAAATTTTTGAATTCCCCCCCTAAATGGGGGGTAAGGGGGGTAACTCAAAATTTTTTAATGTAAACCCCTAGCTTGTGACACCTCATTTGAAAGAGCATTAAAAAACTAGGTAAATGGTGAAAACTAGAAATTTCTATCTAATTTCTAACCGGAATTACAGCCAAAAACGCTCAAAATACGATATTTTTGGGAAACTCAAAAATGTAATTATTGCATACACCCTTTGAGTGATCCCTCATTTGAAAGATAAATAAAAATCAGGCCAATGATAAGGATTAATAATTTCTAACAGGTAATTAGATGGTTTTTTATGATTTTTACAAACAAACTAACCTTAAGTGCGAAATAACAGTAGCGATGTTGTGTTCACCAAATAAATTCACAGCAAATGTTCAAACTGAAGTCCTCCTACTTCCTGACAGTAAAATAAACGAGACGTGAACTCTTCCCTCACGTTATGGAATGTTTCCTCAGTGATTTTTCTGCAGGCTTCAACAATCCTGTGTCTCAAGTCTTCAATATTCTGTACGGGAGTTTTATAAATTGTCGATTTAATAAACCCCCATAGAAAAAAATCCAAAGGTGTTAGATCGGGGGACCGTGCTGGCCATTCTATCCGGCCACGCCTGCCAATCCACTGACCATTCAGTTGTGTATTTAGAAATGCTCGGACCTGTCGATGAAAATGAGGGGGAGCGCCATCCTGCTGGAAGTGAACAATATCTTCATCAAACTCATGTGGATGTTGTGCAATAACTTCCACTATGGCTGGAAAAACCGACTCTTGAAGCATTTGCAAATAATGTTCTCCATTGAGGTTGCCATCGATGAAAAATGGTCCTAGGATATGATTACCCAACATCCCAGCCCATACATTTAATTTTTCTGGGTACTGCGTTGAGGATTCTCGGTAAACATGGGGGTTTGCAGTATCCCAGTATCTGCAGTTATGTTTATTGACAGTTCCATTAACAAAAAAAGTGCATTCGTCTGAAAAAGCTACATTATACACGAAATGTGGATTAGCTTTGATTAGTTCTTCCATTTCTTCGCAAAATTGAAGTCGACGGTCTGGATCATCGTCGTTTAATGCATGGACAAGTTTAAATTTATAAGCGTGAAATTTATTTTTCTTTAAAATATTTCGAACTGTTTGATGGGATAAGTCACACAGTGTAGCAACTGATCGAGTCGACTGCTGAGGATCCTCTACAAATTCTGCCACAACTTCAAATTGTGTTTCTTCGTCTAAAGATGTTCGGCCTGATTTTGGAGCATTAGCTACGGATCCAGTTCGTCTGAACTTGCCAATTAGTTCCCTCAAATATTTTCGACACACTGGTCGATCAGGATGTGCTTCGTTGAATCTCCTTTCTGTCTCGTGGTAGTTTTCATTCGAGGCACCAAAAGTTAAAACCATTTCCACCTTATCGTCTTTGCTTCGAGCCATTATTAAAAATTTCTAATAAACTTTTAACAAAAAACTAACTATTGAATAAAGAAACTAAATTAAAAAACCTGACTAACTAAATAGCAACAAACTAACAATTAATTATTAACCTTAGAGAATTTTAATGAACAAAAAAGTCTTTACAGTTATCAAATAGTTACATAATTGTTATTATTAAATAGAAATTGAATTTATGCTGCAGTACTGACCTAGACCTGTCTGTAACAGCTCATTGACAGAATGAGTTGAGGAAACCCATGCCAGGGCAAACAGGGAAAACCGGCTGAGCAAAGGTCATCTAATGAAACAAACTCATGTTCACGAAAATTTCTTATTGTAATAACCTTAAATTTTTAGTTTGTACTTGCTCTGTTGTGGATAACCAATACATTTCATTTTCACTTTTTTTCAAAAGATGTTATTTTGCACTTTTGCAATAATAAAGAAATAAAAGATTTTATTAAAATAATAATTTATTAGCTGTAGAAATTTTTGGCTGTAGGAAGTAACAGTTTTTTAATTTAATAACATAAGCCTGATTTTTATTGCTCTTTCAAATGAGGGGTCACTCAAAGAGTGTATGCAATAATTACAATTTTGAGTTTCCCAAAAATATTGTAATTTTGAGCGTTTTTGGCTGTAATTCCGGTTAGAAATTAGATAGAAATTTCTAGTTTTCACCATTTACCTAGTTTTTTAATGTTCTTTCAAATGAGGTGTCACAAGCTAGGGGTTTACATTTAAAAATTTTGAGTTACCCCCCTTACCCCCCATTTAGGGGGGGAATTCAAAAATTTTAACTATGTCAAAAGAAACTTCACGTTATGTTACTATCACTCCCCAAACGATATTTCATTATTTTAAAAAATAAAAAAAATAAATAGGGGGGGGGAGACATTTTTTACACACTGTATTTGAAGCAATATAGCAGACATCAAGCAACAGTTAGTGTAGGTGTAGGTGTGGGGTGGGTGGGGGGCTTGCTGCGCCTGTACAGTACACTCACCACAGTGATGACGGCTCAGTGTCGTGCGTGGTGTGGTGTGACGCAGTGCTGTGGTGACGTATTAGTTATGTGATCGTGTCAGCCGTGACTCCATGGTGGACCCGCTCAAGGTCTTATGGGTGTTGACCAACAGCACGTATCTAGGTAAACTTTCATCTGATGATGTGAAGCTATTTTTACAGCATATCTTTGTAATATTAGAAAAGCCAGGAAATAGAACACTAGCAAAGCAACTCCTTTGTATTCCCCCAAAACATAAGGATTTATTACTTTGAAAGTATGAATAGTATTTACTAAATTACTTCGTACGTTAAGATAGTTTTAAAAGTTGTTTACAAAGTTTGGCCAGTTATACATTGACTTTTAACTGAAAAAATATTTTGAAACTCTCTAAAACAATTAAGGAGTAATGTTAAACTTTAAGCAGGTCAAGCAATTGAATTAATTCCTATATTGCATTTCATATGTGCATATTTTATTAGTTATAGCGTAACTAAGGGTTTACTGCTTCCTAGTAAGAAAACCAACAAAAACCTCGTAATTTATTTACCCTCATAAAATTTTTTTTTATTTTTTTTTTATGTAATAATTCAATTCCTTTATAGTTCATGCACTGATAATAAACGTATAGTATCTTAGTTTCAAAGTGGTTAATTAAATGCAACAAAATCTTTATAACAAAGGCCTCACATTCCTTATCACATATTAGACAATGTTTTTATTATCTATTTACACCATATTTCAAGTGTATTTTTACACCATTTATTATGACATCGTTTTAAAATGCATTCAATACATTTAACAACATTATATTTTACTTATATAATACATAGGCAGTAATGAGTAAAAATCGAACAGCGCTTTATATTGGAACACTGAATTGGGAATTCCTGTTGGGTCTGGTAATGAATGAACTTTATTATAAACTAATTTCTTAGTGACATCTTTCATATAAACTCAGATCAAAGCAACAAGATTGTCAATATTGCTTTTGGTAATCATTTGTAAGTATTTCATTAGTAGTCATTTTGGTAGTGGTTGAAGTAGCACTTGTAATATTTTTTGATACTCGAGTTTGAAATTCTGAATAGTATTACTTGTGTTTTCTTGGAGAGGAAACAAATTGATAATAAACAACTCAAGTGTATAACTACGTGTAAGTTTTTTTTACTTAGAAATTTAAATTTAAGAGCACTTAAGAAATAAGAAACGTTTCTGGCTCATATCCATTTGCTTTTAAGGGAATTGGATTGACTTGAAACCAAAGCATCTAATATACTCAAAGGTTTTGACATTTTCTATATCTGCTTTGATATGTTCGACTAAAGCAAAATTACTATGGAGATTAATCAACACTTGTACAACGGTTTAAAAGAATTTTTAAGAATATTTGTATAGAAATAAATTACAACTTTTTATTAATATAACCAAACGGGGTGTACTCTATTCTCTCGTGGTATAATATAGTTTAAAAACGTTGGGTTTTGAAGTTATCTTTGCAAAAATGCTCATAAAAATATAGCTGTTTTACGTAAAGGGGGTATTACAAATATAGCACTAACTTAATGAAAAATCAATTAATACTATCAATACATGCCAAAATAGTCAAATAATACACCCTATTTTTACAAGACACTAAATATATTTACACATTAACAAATCAAATTAATATTTTTTTTATTTATACAATGAAAAGAACGTAAAGAAATTTGTTTGAAAAATCTTTTACTAAGACTGGTATATTCAATATAAAACATGTCAATATTTTATCCTCTTGTCATTTGAAAAAAAGGCAAATTAAAAAACTGTGGTATATTTAAATAATATAGAACCATACAAATGCAATTGATTTAAAAGGTTACCTAGAGCACTATTAGTTTATACTACTTCTTGTTTATGCAGTTACATAAATACAATTATAGTATAGCACAGGATTATTTAAACAATATTATATAACGTGATGCATTAAATGATTTAATATGAATAACATTGTGGAAATAATTATATCCGTAATAGGTAATAGATTATTCCCTGAATTATGGAGTGAATAATGCAAAAAATGTGCTCAATATTGATTGTAGAGTCCTTTGTCCCTGTTAAGATCTGTTCTCAAGTAATAGTTGTTGTTCGGCTGTTGGATTGGTAACGTGTATTCATTTAAATCAGATTAACAAAATGCTAGGTAGATTTAATGAAGTTATCAAATAAAAATTTCATATAAATAATCTTTTTACTTATAATGAGGTAATTATCAGTTATTATTATAATTTATTGCAGCTTATTGTTTTGGTAAACATTTCTTGCATTTATCTGAAGACTTGATGTGATTGTCTTTGTTTAGTTAAGACCATAACAAAATATATATTGTAATAGTTAGAAATAGTTTAAAAAATATATTATTATCTTAGTCAAAAATGTCCCTTTACCTTTTAAAAAAAGATGTGTATAGGGTTTACTCATCCACATATGTAGAGTGGAAATGAAAACCGGGTTAAGTGCCAAAAACATCTTTTTGAGTTATTGCAAAAAATATCAATAAAACCATTACTGTTAATTTTTTTATACCAGATTATTTACAGTAGCTACAACAAAAGATGAGTAATCATAATTTTATGAAACAACTCTTTTTAAAAGTCAATAATAGAATTTATAAATTTTTAAAGTTACACATTTGAGACAAGGGGTATGTCCATAATCATAGTGGTGAAAAGCGAGCTAAGTACATATACTTCAAAACCATAAAACGGGGTATGTGCAGAGTTAGTAAACATAAAAGATTCTAAATATTTTAACATTTCAGACGGGTAAAATATAAATTAAACAAAATAATATTGAAATCAAGTTTTATTATCATAAAACATCATAAAACCCGTAAAAAACATGAAAGGGTAAACGACAAATGTGTTGGTTTTAGGTATAAAAATTTAACAGTTAACTCTCTGTAAAAGTGTTTACATATTCTTCCTTCAGAAATGGTATCATATTCTTAAGTTCATATTTCTTCTCTTTTTTTCATTTTGTTTATAGCATTCAAGGACTTGTGGTAGGTGTTTCAGAGCCTCTAGCTGCACATTTTCTTTAAAACTTTTATTTTTTACATGGCTCCAATGCACTGAATGTTTTTTTAGGACGTCTCTTCTTAGGATTAACTTCTACTAACTCTGTATCACCCATTTTAAGTATAAACTCACGTGAACACCTCTACCAAAACTGCCGGAACATTGCATAGCCTCAAAATGGGTTGTAAAGACGCTTGGCACATAGCCCGGTTTTCATTTCCTCAGCTGATGAAGTTGACCCATGCGCATTCTAGTGGCCACTGTTTAAACGTCTTGGAGCTATTGTTTTGCAGATAACCCGCTTTTTAACGTAGTGGGCTTGGCAGATAGCACACATTTTGACACTTAACTCATTTTTTTATTTTTTGGCACTTAGCCCGGTTTTAATTTCCACTCTACATATATTTATCTTTTCTCCAAACAAACATTGTTTTGTATAAGTTATTAATAATTAGGAGTCAAATTGATTCCGTTACTAATGATAATCCCTTTTTAACTCATGCAAACTCAAGATTTGATAATCAATTAGTAAATTTATCGTTTTTTTTACCACAAACGTATGTTTAAACTTGTATACGTTTTGATAATCTATACATTGACAAGACATTATTTGTTTGAAATTAGTATGTAGTGTTAGTAGTCTATTAAAACGTTTCTGAAAAAGTAGAGCTAAAATAAGAGTTTGTAATTTAAAGTTTGGATTCTAAACTACCTTAAAATAACTTTTTAATTAATCTTTATTCCAAATATTAAATGATATTGACTGACACATTCAACTTGGACAATACCCGCATAAACTACATTCATCGATTTAATAGTTAAAGTTTTTTTCAGAACGAACAGTGAAAAGAGTGATAGACCGTTTTATGGAGTAACTCATCATAATCTATAAACGGTGTCTAGAATTTAATTATTTAAAACTTTTACTTACATGCAAACAAAGTATTAAGTATTCATAATAACATTTTAAATGTATAGATTTTTTAAATATTGATTATTGCACAGGCTCTTTTCAAATTTTTTTTGTATGTATATGCAACCCTTAAGATTAAATTTTGAACCAATAACCTATGGGAATATCAAACATCGCTATATGAAAGGTTGCGATGTCGGCTACTTTATACTCGTCTGATCAAAACAAAGATGTTTCTGACGTGGTTTGGGCAGCAAAATATCTCTTTTGAGGTTTAATAAGGAAATGTCATGTTCTATGAAACAAGCGTGCTGTGTTGTAATATGAAAAGAATGGTATTGTGTAAAAAGGGAACAGTACTACACAAGGATAATCGAAGTTTGTATTCAACAGTGTTCTATAAATATAAGTTGTAAGCTCTCAAACATAACAAACCTATCAAAATAACAAAAATTTATGAGACTATTTGGGGGGGGGGAATTATCAGTAATAGTTTACTGTGTTGTTTTAGTAATTATTTACTATAGTCAGTTTATTTAATAAATTTGTTAGGGAACGGTCAATATTTAATTTTGAGGGGAATTCAATCCACAATAGAATGCATATGAGCTTTTGTAAAGTACATTAATTACATCTGTGATGCATAGTTCTTTAAAGAATAATAAATGAAAGAAATATTAGTTAAATACCACTAGCATTCTTTTACTAACCATATGACATAAACCGAGCCTGAAGAAAAAACTACTAAACAAATTCAAATCTTGTGCAAGAACCCTATTCTTGTAATCTTGACTAGCCTTATACATCATGTTTGTGATGGATTGGTTATTAGTTTCTGGACCAATCGAATTGACTAATAAACATTTTAACCTGGTTATTGTTAACACACACGTGTTATTTTAAAGTATATAGTGTATTTTTACGAATACAGCTGGCTTGTTCACATATTGAGCAAACCAGTTTAGAATGTCAGTTAAGGTCAGCTGAGTTAAAGATTTCTCATGGTGGAGTTCGTTACAAATGTTGAATAGTACGGAATACTTGAAACATTGACACGAAAACAAAAATATAAATAACTACTTCATGCGTAATACGGCGATGGTGGGGGGTTGCAACTGTCAAGTTGGGCGGGCCTTAATTTTACCAACTGACCTGAGTCAGGTATTCGGGAATTCCTGAATTGCGCCAACTACTCCAGGGAGCTACGCGATTCGTTCATTAATTGCACCAAGTGGCGGCCCTCTTTGACTGTATAATTGAGTAGGTCAGGTTAGGTTAGGTCAGGTAAGGTTAGGTTAGGTGAAGATATGTTAGCTTTAGTTAAGTAAAGTTAGGTTAGGATAGGTTAGGATGACACGTTAACAAGGAGATTCCTTCTGCCGTCAACTAACCCCTACTGGCTTGGGCTTGGAGCAACTAGGGAATATTTTTGGGGCCCTTAATTTTAGGGCTTGGAACTATTAAGGAACACTTTTTCGCAATTAATGCATGACCGTCAAGTGTCTGTAGCAATGTACCCAACTCCCACTCTCATAACCCTCATCCGGTCCTTTTCATGACCAGCTTATCATAGATATGATTGGCAGCATTCTAAATTATTATAAACTCAGATGATGATTTATCATTAAATATGTTTGCTACCTTGTAAATTTCGACAAACCAACAGTTTTTATTATATTAAAATTGCACTATTTTAAAATTATTGTGTATTTAAGTATCAGTGGGACGATAAGAGGGGGTAAGCGTAACTTGATTGGGAGTTTCTTTGCCATATGTTCTTTAAAACCAAGCGGAGAATCATCTAGCCTATGCACAAATCTGGACAGTTCCAACATTTTGCACTTTGTTTCAAGAGTAACTAGGTTATTGAAGCATTTTTAGATCCCTTCAATTTGAAATTAACAAATATTTTTACAAAAGTTCTTATATTTTTAAAGTTAAATTGTATTTAGTTTATTTCTGCGGACTACACTTGTTGGAAATAAATTATGATGCTTAGCAATAAGAATGTAAAATCCCTCTTTGTAACCGGTAATGTTCACCCAACAAAGGATAAACAATTCCCTTTTAATATATGCAAAACACAAGATGAAAGGTGAGGTTATTGGGTTTCAGTCGTTTGAGAGGAAATTGCTATAAACCAATTCTGAGCATGGGTGGAAAACCGTAATAACGCTTGGTTCATAAAATATTAGGTTTGTAGAATACTTTTTATACAAAATATAGTCTTATCATTTAGGTAAAAAAATTAATTTAAATTTTTACAAATAATAATGATTGCATTTAAATCCATTAAAGAAGGAGGGTGAAAGTAAATCCACTTTACAAAATAGTCATTTTGAATGTTTTTGCAGATTTAATGAAACATTTGTGTCCACGAGTTTTAAAAGTTGCAAACGTGTTCTCAGTCAGCAATTTCAGATCAGAGGGAACGCTGGTTGACCTCTGGGTTCTGCATTCCTACATTAATTAGGGACTCGAGAGATAAAGGTTAAAGTATGCTGCGTATATTTGATGTGTTTGATAAAAGTTGACGTTTGTATTTTTGTATTCCTTTGAAAAAGTCTACTCGTATATTTTACGTTACATTTAGTTAAAGCTTTACATTCCATGTCGGTTACGGTAAGTCTCTTGGTTTGATAATGTTTGTAAGCATAAAACAAAAACAAAAAATGTTTTCTAAACAGAGTCTAAAATAATAAATAAGTTTCCTGGTATTGAGATACAATTGCTATAAATTCCCTTTTTTTATAAATACTCACGAAGAATAAATTGTGTAATAGTTATTTGATGAAAACGTTTAATACTAGGCGGTATTTATGTTTCTCTTACATTTATTTAATGATAAAAATAAATCTTTTAATTGATGCAAAATATTAGTTTTAGCGGTTACCTATTAACAAAGCCCCTTTTAAAAGGTATCTGTCACATCATTTGTTAAAACGAATCAATGATCTTTCACTATTACCATACATAAAACGTTTTTGAGCGGAGCGAAGCGAAGCAAGCGAAGCTCTTATACTACACTCCTGCTTTTGTTTGCTGAAGTGATCTGCACCAAATTTAGCACCATAGTAACCATAGTACCAATCATAGTAACCTCCCATGGTCGGGAAGGTATAAATCTGAAATGGTACAAAGCGGACTTAAGGGCTTTTCCCTAAGTCAATTAACACTTTTAGAAATTTAACTTGAGCCTTATTGGTTGATTGGTCGTCGTGACATTATTTGTGAGATAATAAAAAGGTAAACAAGAGTCGTAACATAGTCTTAGTCAACGAATCATCAACAAATGCCATGCAGAGAAAAAGGGAAGAACAATCGCATTAATAACGTTGAGCGTAATTTACTACAAAATGAATAACCAATAAATTACAAGTGTCACCGGAATAAGGCTGATGCACCATCGACTTTAATCCAAATAGCCATTCCATTTACGTGAACCAAATATAGGCCTAAAATTGAGTTTGGAACCTGCAAGTAGACATTCCACTGACGTGAACCATACGTACGATTGGCTTTGGATATAGCAATTAGGCACTCCAATTATGTAAATCAAATGAACCATTGCTTTGGGTCCTGCAAAAAGACAATTATATTACGTAAACCAAATGTACCATTGAGTTTGGATACTAAAAATGGGCTTTTTATTTATGTCAAATGTATCATTGACTTTGAATACTGCAAAAAGACGTTCCATTGAAGTAAACCAGAAATAAGCCTACCATTGGCTTTGAAAACTGCAAACAGGTATCTTATTTATGTGAACCAAATGGAACATTGACTTTGGATACCGATACTGCAAGTAGATTTCTCATTGATGTGGAACAGGTGTACCGTTGATATAGGATACTGGAAGAAGACAATTTACGTCAACTAAATGTACTATTAGTTTAGATACTGCAAATACACAATTCGTTTAAGTGAATCAGGCGTATGATTGACTATTGATGCTGCAAATAGGCATTTTATTCATGCGAACCAAATGTATCTAAAATAATGTAATCTACTAAATGTATAACATTTGACACTACAAGTAGACACTTAATTTATGAGAACGAGATGAAGCATAGACTTTGTTTCCGGCAAGTAGACAATTCATTTACCTGAACCAGGCTTATAATTGACTTAGAATACTGAAATTAGTCATTACATTTATGTGAACCGAATATACCATTGACATTGGATACTCCAAGTATATAATCTCATTTAAATGGAACAGATCTACCATTGAATTTAGAAAAGTATTGGATTAATATGCTAGCCCAGCTCAATAATGCAAGCAGACAACTGCATTATGCACCTAGTTATTAGCAAAATGCCCATAGCTATGTCTAACAAAAGAAGTGTCGGAATCACTTAAAATCACTGGCAAATAATAAACTATGTAGATCTTATTTCGGCTGTTAAAATTAAAATATGTAAGTGTTTTATCTGATGTCTTTCTTTCCATCGATGAGAAAGTTTTCTACAACGATATGTAATTATTAACATTTAATCGATCTTCTAATACACAAGGATTAAAAAGGTTGAGTGGAATCAATGTGGTTAACTGTTTACTATTTATAGAAGTATTATACATTTTCAACAAACATTAAATAATAAACAACGAATATAGTGTCGTACAGGATTTATAATACGATTGTCTTAAAAAGGAAACACTTTTTGGACTAGGAGGGTGAGATATAAAGGCTACTCTGAAATATATCTTGTTCAAAGACAGTTTGAAAAGAATTTATAGCCAGTTTTTCTGTTTGTAAAAGATTTGTAGACGAAAAACACGGGTTATATAATACTTTTTGTTCTGGAAAATTTCACGAGGGCTTACATAACATAGATTAAAAAATATAATAGAATAAGTGGATTAAGTATTGTAAATGCAATTTTCTGTTCACAGTCAGCAAGTTCATACGTTTGGGGGCCACCGACAAGAATGAATATGCACCCTATTTCGAAAAAGGAGTCTTTGAGCTCTACATTGAGGAAAATGAGGAAATCAACCACCCCCTGCTTAGTGTCGCCTCCAAAGATCGTAAAGAAGGTAAGTGAGAAACACCAAATAGCTCTTGTTTTATTTTTGTTCGGATTTAAAGATATAAATTAAATGCATTATCTTAATTGATAATGACTACTGTCAACAGAAACATCCATTGTTAATTGTTTCATTTATAATTATCTAACAAAGTTTACTAAAATTGTAAATGTATATAATGAAAATTTGTTTAAGTTATAAGTACCCATTGAAACGCTGACCTTATGAAAGGTTGATAAATTTTCCTGCATGAGTGCTGCTATTCCAACGATAAACCCTGAAGCACAGACTCTGAGCTCTCTTAACTAGTGTTCATTTCACAATATTTGGATATTGCAGCCCATGTGTAATAAGGAATACTAACGAGTCAAATGTAGAATATTACGTATTGGAGCATTGTTAATTAAAAACATATAAATGTTATCAAAAAAAGTAGTAGTAATGGTTTAGAAACCTAGTCAACAAGGTTAGCATTATTAAATAAAGTTGTAATTTACTGGCCAGGCTCAAATCCCTGAACTTTTAGTCTTGGATCATAAATAACTGTTACTATCGGCACTCTAAATAAGCTGATAGCTTATCTGGTTATAATATTAACCACAGTCATATAGTTTTATTGTCACCATTATTTTTAGGCAATCACAATATCCTAACAACAATGCCTTAACACTTAAAGTAAATATATTATAATAACGATGTTCTGTTGTGAGTTAGGCCTACTTGTTTGAATAAGAGTTTTAATAATTAATTCACTGTATACATAATACTGTGATAGGAATATAGACAGTACCACGGGTAAACTATAATGCACGCTTTCTTTACAAGTACTTGACTACGTATTGAAACTTAATTGCTGTACTTGATAAAAGATACCCTTTCTCCTGGTGTGAAACGATGACCAAAGTTTATTACTAGATTTTAAATACAAATATACGTACTTACATTCTGTTATGGCCATTTTATCACATTTGACACTTGACCTTGGCAACACAGTGCCTAAAGATGTCTCTGTACTCAGCATTTTCTTCTTTAATTCCAAAAGATCTCACGTCTCTCTGGACCTAATCCCACCGTTGTGTTTAACAATTTAATATAAATTGTAGGTATTTCTCTGGGTCTTCTTCCCTCCTGTGGAATTCAGGATGATTTTCAGTTTTGATTCTTCTTCTATTTTTATTACGTTTCCAGCCCATCTAAGTTTACTCCCATTATGAGCTTCTTTATCCAACTCTCTTAGGGCCAGGCAAAAAGTTCTTATTAATATCTTTTTTTCTAATGCTTATAGTTCACTTTCTTCTCTTCTTTTCAGTATCCAGGTTTCTGAGCCACGAAGATATGCTGATTGAATTCTGGTTTTGTATAAACGCAGTTTACATGTGTGGGATTATTTACAAAATATATTTTTTATGTGAGATTTGCCATAGTAAATCCTATGTTTCTTTATAGCTACACGTGTTCGATACGAGATCACTGGAGGTAACATAGGGGGAGTGTTCGCTCTCGGTTCCAAAACAGGAGTTCTCCACCTCATTCGACCTCTCGACTATGAGGCCGTCCAAAGGGTGAGTGTCTGAGTTTTGTGTTTGTTTAACAGCTTAAAGTCAATAGTTTTAAAAACTACAAAGGTAATTTTTATTCCAAAAAGGTTTGCCAGTGTTTTTATATTCGACATTAGAAATTGACACAGAAATAGCAAAACCCACAAACACGTACTGCAGATAAATATGAAATTATTCTTCGATTTTGTGAGTAAATCAATTATTGTTGTGGGTAAATCACAGATGTTTGATGTTTTTTTCTTACTTCCTAAACCTGGTTTTATTTCTTTATCCAGCCACCGATATACAAGTACACATTGAAGTACACACATTCAATTGCACAAATTTAACTCAACATAGATAACTTCATTTTGTTTATAACGTGTACTAAATATTTAGTTCTGTAAATTTCATGTGATCCAAAAATAATAAAGTATAAGAAGGTTTGTTTTTACAGTTAAATATAAATTGTAAAAGAGCTATTGCTACGTATCTACACTATTGTAGACAAATGTACGTAAACCTCGACGCTATCCTAAGTAGATTAGTTTGTAGGCTCAAAATAGACTGCGAGATAATCCTTAAACTTGTTCATCCAAGTAGGTAGGCTTACCATCCAAACTGACTCTTAAATGGGCTCAAAACAGATGCAGATTTAGACAATAGACATCCGTCAAAAAATTTTAATTTACTACATCCTAGACATATTTTTTATGTTTTGGAACTAGCCTAGTTTTGATTAACATTGTTTCTACTGAAGTACGAGCTCCGACTCGCGGCGTCTGACAAGAACACTGCCAGTTTCGCCACGGTCATAGTCCATGTTAAGGACGTGAACGACAATCCACCACTCTTTGAAAGACCAACTTACAGGACCCAGATAACCGAGGAGGACGACAGAAACCTACCTAAGAAAGTCCTGCAGGTGATTACCAAGATTTTATGACTCACACTTGCATGCACCAATTACGTTTTCCATATCCAAACATAAATATTTTTTTTTTAAATACACATACAACACCGAATAAGCTTTTCGCAAATTTCTACTCGAATAAAACATGTAATACAATGATTTCAATCTTGAAAAGATAACGCAGAGGTAAACTTGCTAATTAGTTAACGAGGTAACAATGGGAATTGAATACAATTGCAGTGCTTTCCGAGATAAGAGCACTCATATTTAGTAATAGTTTTTTTTTTTTATTTTTTTTTTTTTTTTTTATATTCCTATAATGAAAATTCTCAGAACAAACTAGAAGCTTTTATTCAATTGCAAAATGTTTCATTGCTTGAATTGAATGATTGCTTCAGAGTAAGCCCATTCAACAAATTGTTGTTATTGGTTATAATTCGTAATGTTTCAGACTCTTCTAAAAGTCGAATATTAAATCGAACTTACTAATATAATACATCAACAACTTTTAAAGTCAACCATACAAGGTTTTTATTTATTTTAAAGAGATTAAATACTAGTGTCTGTATGCTAATTATGGATGATAATATATATATATATATTGTAAAAACCCTTAAATTCTGAAAATGTATTATTTAATTGTGAAAGATTTTTCTCGTCTGTGTAGGTGATAGCTTTAGATGCGGACAAAGCCAGACCTGGTGATGTGGTATATTCTTTGACCGGGCAAGGAGTGGACCCAGACAATCCAATCAACAACAAATTCGACATCGGCAAGACCTCTGGGGAGATCTTTGTCCTTAAGGTCAGTATTACTCACCCTTACGGTCAAAACGATCCGATTCACTGCTTCTTTTGTTCCTTGTTATTGGATCTCGTGATATATCTATAGAATAAAGGGAACCCGAGTTCAATTTCACCAGTAGTTTATTGTCTCTTTAAAATTGATATTCGTGCAATAGTTTTAACCAATTTCTTACTTTGCATGAGGTAAAATTGTTGACGATTCTTAGTAAACAATTGTACACAATTTCATAAAAATACACTTTATCGTGATACTATACCAAAGAATAAACTTGTAATTTAACGACATTGAGACGCAAATTGCTTTAACTTAGTACCTTCTCAAAGACCCTTTTTCAAAGAGGTAAATTATTGTTCTTGGTTCACAAACGAATACTTTCTTCTATTGAAGTTTAATTAGTTGAAAAAGCTTCTTATCGGTTTTTGACGTTGCCTTTTTAGTAAGAATTTCAAGAAATGTGTTTGAGTTGATTTTATTATTTTATTATTTTATGTTTACTTTATTTTACTCTTTAAAACACCTACCAATTTTTAAAGAGTTTTTACACCGAATTCAACCTCAAAAGCAATTTGCAGTCAAAGAAATTGCCAAATTAAGATTCTTTGTGAATTTAACATTTTCAAAACGGTACAAAATATTTTTACTTTTCAAAAACATTAGATTTTCCTTAATTTCGTATATCAAACGGAATACTCGTTTAGTTAAGTATAATTTGTGTGTGTATTCATGTTTTACACTCAGTTTTACAATATATTTTGCACTAAACCTCGAGTACTTCTTAAATTAGTTTATAAATAATAATATAATTCTATATTTTCATTACATTAGTTTACGTCCAAGGTTTATATTTACTTTTATATGAGTTTGTTTGAATAAAAATAAAAAAAAAATAAATCTTGGCCATAGGTAGGCTTAAAAATTTAACTATTTATAGTTGAAATAGAACAGTTTTTGTTACATAAATTATGTTTACATGAAATAAATGTACTGTTAGAATATGAATCAGACATGAACTTAAGACTTTCTGATGATCATTTTCCGTGAAGAAGAATTTTTATTCTTTGTATTATAAAATATAAATTAATGTATTTATTTATATCTGCAGCCGTTAGACCGAGACGAGCCCCAGGGTAAGCCTCAGTGGAGGTTTACAGTGTTCGCCCAAGATGAAGGAGGTGAAGGATTAGTGGGGTACGCTGATGTCCAAATAAACCTGAAGGATATAAATGACAACGCTCCAACATTCCTTCAGGGATTATACCATGCGAACGTGACAGAAAACTCCACTGCAGGTCTGTCGCTTATAAGTTTTATAAATTTAGTCATAAATATAGTCATAGGCCTAGTTTTATATATATTGTTTGATATTGCGTATACTCGAGTGGCATTGTATTATTTTTATTATGTTGGTTGAATATTAGTTCAAGGTCAACTGTGATCACTAATGTTTTGTTTTTATACAAGTTGGCCCCTCCTAGATATGATCAATGATCTGCCATTGTAACAACCAACCAAAATAGGAATCATTTGAGACTTGAAAAATATACAAATATTTCCTATCTTAATATTATTAAACGAATCTTACGATTATATATGATTATTGGTGACTATAAGTTGGTATAAATACCTGTAATTATGCGATCCAGTTTGTAGCTGAGTTGTTACCGGGTTTAACTGACATAGGAGTCATCATCTGGCAATTAAAGATGTATCTCGCTTCATTCGGAGGCTATAACTTGATGATAAATAAATAAACAAAACACGAACACGTACACAAACATCAACATGAACATTTAATATTTAAAATACTGAAACTGTAGGCCTATGGGACACGACGTGATCAGGTGGGAGATATCCCCCACTGAGGTATATCTAGGTGTTCGTGGTTTGTTTATTTATTTATTATTAATTGATGACCTTCGAATAAGGTAAGAAGAAATCTTTAATAGCCTAATGATGACTATGTGCGTTGAAACCGGTTGCAACTCAGCTACAAGCTGGATAGCATAATTGCACGTATTTACACCAATTTATGGTATTTAAATGCGATCAGGAGGCAAACATTCAATACAATGATGTTCTAGGTGAGTTAGTAATGACAATGAAAGCAGTGGATTACGATGACCCTGAAGAAGGAGGCAACGCCGACATATTGTACTCAATCGAGAAGAACGTTGTCGAAGAGGGAACTGGTTTGCCAATATTCGAGATCGACCCTCTAAGTGGAGAAGTACGCACTGCCGTGTGTTGTCTGGATCGAGAGAAGACTCCAGACTATGTAATACAGGTCGTAGCTGTAGACGGAGGTGGGCTTAAAGGTAGGTAAATTGTAAAAAAATAAATGTAAAATTTTTTTATATCATTATAATGTTCCCCAAATACTTGTTGCAGTAAAAAAAAGATATTTTAAAAACTCTCGAACCTCAAGTGTGATTTTCACTAATAATTTTATAAAAAAAGTTTTTTTAGATATATATCTCTAAATACAGTAATAACGTAGGCTATACAATAAAATAAGTCTTGTAGTAACTGCAAAATTGGTAATCCCTATTCCCTATACTTTAGTGACCCTTTCAAGATTAACTCCATAAAAGTTCGCAGATATTATATTAAAGTATATATTTTGCCATTCACTGAATTTCTAATACATTAGAGCTACGTCATATTCAGACCGACGACTGTTTGAAACTTGACACTTAAATAGATATTTTTTTAATTCATATTTTTTATTTAAAGTGTATTATATGTTATATTTATTTTTTTTTATTTCATATATTTGAACCCTCTCCTGAAATGTCACAGTTCAAATGTATTAGTGACTGCAGTATTCTGTAAACTATATAGTTTGTATGATTCGGTTTGTATGAAAGCTTAGTTTAAAAGAACAACTACTTTCCCATCGGCTAGTCCTGTAATTGTGTAAGGATATTATTTGATCTAAAGTAAATATAAAACCCGTGTTCCTATTTAATATTTCAAATGTGTATTGATACTCTACTTATAATTTCATCTATAACAACTAATTCATTAGTGCCTTTAAGTGTATTTATAATTGCAGACTACGACAGTGTAATATGGGTTTTGTATACATGTTTTGCTAGTTTATATGAAGTTAAGAAAGTTATAATAACATTATTTTTATGTATACATAATATATTTATTTATTTATTCTACCGGCGGAGCCACTAAAAAAGTAAGACACATACGTTACTACGAGAACTTACTTTGGTATGTTCACTAAAAGAGAGAGTAGCCAAGGTAATATATCAAGGTATTACACACACTGGGGATGAAGAGATATCTGCAGTAATATAGCCTATTACATCAGCCCAGCAATCGAAGATAGTCCGCCTGTTTTATTGGGGATTGGCCAAAAGTTAATCAAGGGTCAGTCTTTGACCTGATTGGGCAGAAATCTGGCAACGGAAATCTTTTAACGTCCGTCGGTCACTTAATTGCACCCTTTCACATACATCAACCTGCATTGCTCCTAAAACATACATTATTTTAATAATAGTTTTAAACCGTAGAATACCACATACATGATTATTTATAACGTAAAATTTACTCTGGGAAGTAACTATTTATTTCGTAAAAGTTGACACCAAAACATTTTACAAAAGGAAAAAAACCACTTGAAATTATTATATAACAACCCGATTTTGCACACTTTGTAGCTCCACTTAATAAGGTCTTCGTAAAAGGAAAAACAAACAAAAAACACCGCCACACTTACAATATACTATAAATATTAATTTAATGATATAACGTTTTTTTAACAGTAACCACATTTTCCCCCTACTCAACTGTAATGGAATAAGTTACCAGTTGCGACAATCATCAGGAATGAACCGAAGAGAGAAAATTATATTGTATTGAGCAATATACTCTAACTTAATAACTCTATAAACAGTTTATATATTTATAAAAAAGCTAACCCATTGTACACACGTGTTCCTGTAACAAATACCTGCATGGATACCAATATTTTCTTTTCTTTTGTTAATCCAGGCACTGGGACAGCTTCCATTAGAGTGGCTGATGTAAACGACATGCCGCCAAGGTTTGTGAAGGACGAGTGGACCACGGAAGTGGACGAGAGCGATGGTGAACATCTACCTGACCATCCTGTCCTGACCGTCACTGTACATGACGACGACGAGAACAACGACTTTTACTACAGGGTCAGCACTAGGGGCTTTTATAAACTTATTTAAGGACTAATTAGATATTAGTGTGTAAAAAGGGTATGGTCAAAGCAACCTCTCTCATGGGTGAATCGTGAATTTTTATTTTAAGAGTACTTAGTGACTGGATGTTCTAACTCATAAAAAAATTGAAATACTACAAAAACAATTTTTATCTCACTAGATATTTAAATAACAATAACTTTTGTATTTGAAAAAAATATTTTGAGAAGGTAAATAAATCATCCGCGAATATTTAAAATCAACAAAACTAGCATTGCTCTTATGGCGGACAAATCCAAGATGGCTGTCAGCTTTCATTGACTGTCACAAGAAAATTGCAAAACTACAAAGATAATTTCTAATTCCACAGTACCCAAGATATTTAAATTATAATCACTTTTGTATTAGAAAAAGTATTTTTGGATGATATTTAACTCTTCAATGGCTGTTATGCAAGATAGCCGGTATCATCCAAGGACTATTATTACATTAATGAAATGTCTTTTATTAGAGAACGTAGTCCTACGGACTAATTTATGTGTTGGCTCGAATAAAATGTAATGGCAATCAAAATGTTAAAGGGGTTTAACATGAAAAATAAAGTGGTTTAAAAAGTGCCTAATGTAAAAGTCAACAATGTAATTTGAACCAGCTCAATTTATAGTTAAGCTCATTAATCGGATGAATAATGAAATAAAAAAAAAAACTATAACTCTCTTATTGTTTACAGCACAATTTCTAAACCAATATCACTGTTTCAGGAGTGTAATACAGTTTATAAACTTACTAAACATCTCTAGGAAGGTGTTTTTTGCAGGTAGTAGACGGCAGTGGCCCTGGAGCAGATAAGTTTAATATGAGTCGCAACCCAGACGGCACGGGAGCCCTAAGGGTGGTGCGACCTCTGGACTACGAGGATCAAGGGAGACACGCTCCCCTCAGGTTCCGGATACAGGTCAAAGATACGGTATGTCTAAAAGAAAGTTATTATGATGCATATGATGACAATTAATTATGTATTGCTCTTTAGGATTATTTTACCACTTCCTCCTGCATTGCGCTTAAAAAAACCTATTCGTAAAAGCAAAATCAATTAGTGTGTAATATATTGTGTACACATATTCATGGGCCACATTCAGAAAGTAGTAAATATATTGGTGGGAGTATCGTAATGATGATACTAGGTACTATATACGATTTTTTAAATCAATATTGTTTGAATATAAGACAAATATCAATTGTGTATTTTGTTTATTTTTTTTAAAGCTGGAATGGTAAAGAATATAAAGAAATTACTATATTTCGCCCAAACCTAGATAACTATACCACGTTATATTTTCGCGATTTTTTTTATAAAATCCTTAGATGTTGCAATTTTCCTTTTCAACAACAAACTAACCATTATTAATCCTAATTATTTTTTGTAAGCAGGCTTATTTTACTGTATGTGTAGTAGCTAACTTAGGTTCTTGTTTGGCTAATGTTATTATATAACTCGTATATCCATGTATAATATATTTATTTTCATAAAAAAGTGTTGGATAAATAATCAACAAAAAACCAATATTTGGCTTTGGATACCGTTTTAATGCGACAAAATTACTTTGAATCAGTTGGTAAAAATTAAAAGCTGGAAAATAATTCTTCTCTAAAAACGCACCATAAGGCATTGCAAAGATTTAAGGCCAGTACAAGTTTAGTTTCCTGTCTACGATATTGATATTTGTCCTCCTAAACCACTACTTCTCTAATCCTATCAAAGTTTATGTAAACAATTCTTCTGTATGGTTTATATTTACATAGGGCCAAGATTCTCCGGATGACCCATATCACTCGGCGTTTGCGTGGATAAACGTTAAACTGCGAGATATCAACGACAACGCCCCTGTGATTGACCGGCTCAACGAAAAAGTGCAGGTATAAAACAGAGTAATACACGTCTTGTAATAGTCAATCACTCATACACCAAAATATTATTTAAATGATCAATTTACAAATAGTTATGAGGATAAAAAACGTGTAACTTGATAAAACGTGATAAAAAAGGTGTATATATTATTCAATTATACATCTATCTGTTTGGGTAATTTTACCATTGAAGTTTTACCATTCACTGTTTCTGTCATATTAAATTACACCTTACAAAAATGTTATACAGCTAAAGAAATCTTTACATCTACATTGACCTTTAGGTGGAGGAGGATGCGAGGGTAAGCACGATTCTAGAGACGTTTAGAGCACGTGATCTCGATCAGCGAGGAAAGAGCAAAGTTGTGTTCACTGTGGATCGATCCTCGGACCCCAGAAGACTGTTTGCTGTGTCTCATGATGGTGTTGTTACCATACAACGACCCCTAGACAGAGAAACCTCCTCCAAACATGTGGTAAGATTTTGAAATTGAAATCGTTAAAATAATGAGGGTGGTTTGGTAAATAATTATTTTCTGAAAAACTTATGATCATCTCATCCGGTTAATTGGAGCAAACTTGCTTGTCTTTTCAGTGTCTATACAGCTTATATTGCAAACAATATCTAGCCTATTGAAGGTAAAAAAGGTTATTTAATGGTTTATAAAGATTTTGTTAGCTGATATATTCCAAGGTTTAAATAATAAAGGTGCCTAGTTCAACTATAAATTAAGTCGATCTAAGGCCTGGACACCTCTCGTCATCGACATATTAAAAACATCTTTTGACAAAAAGTTCGAGACTAGGTATGGCTGGGTTTCTTTAAGAATGTTTTTTAAACAAAAGTTATAGGTACAGGTGTAAATAAAAATTAAATTAAATAAAAATAATTTTATGATGTCTTAAATACTTATACATTTATTTTATTACATATAAAAGTGCAAAAAAGCCATAACTTTGCTATACAATAAAATTATTGAATTTATTTTATTACATATAAAAGTGTAAAAAAACCCATATCTTTGCTATACAATAAAGTTAATTGAGAACTATTAAATCTATTGAACAAAACATAGTTGAACAAAGGTTTTCTGGCTGCTGGAACTGGTGTAGTTGTGTTAAGTGAATGAATTGCCATTCAACTGCTAATGGAAATAAATGGTGTTTACCCGCAGTGCATTGCTTTCCGTCTCATAAGTTTAAACTAGATAATTCTAAAAAAAACAACCACCATTTTCATTTTTGGAAATTTATCATTATTAAGGAATCGCAATGTGCATTTTCTTATTATTTGTATAAAATAACTTTATTTGTTTTGTAGGATTTACAAATCATGGTAATTTTTTTAGTTTTTTTTTGTAGATAAAATACTTATTTGAATATTTGTATTTGTATAACAATATAAAGTTTCAGTAAATGTTGGATAGAAGGTTTGAGTATTTACTTATATATGTGTTTTATAAATGCAATTACAGGTATGTTTAGACTACAGAACAAAATGTGTAATCTTTCTATAGCTTAGGCACTAAAAGACCAGTTATATCCAATTTATCAATGTTTGATATGAAATCCTATCCTATAACGAGTGTACGATTTGAAATATTAGAAATTCGCAGTTTCAAAATATATGACAACCCATTAACATTAATCTAAGGATATGCAAGTTTTTTTAATAATATTTCAAACAAATCTTAAAAAGTAATGTTTATTAGCAATGAATCAAAACTAATAACTATTCATTACAGATAAGATTGATAGCAGTAGACGACGGCGTTCCACCCCTAACATCAACAGCTACCCTAACAGTGATAGTCGTGGATGTCAATGATAACGCTCCTACCCTGGACCTCGACCCGGACTACGCCCCAGTGGTAATGGAGGGCGAAGCTCCAAGGGCTGTGGCTGTGGTTACTGCCGTAGACCGCGACAACTACACGGCAGGGCATGGACCACCCTTCTCCTTCCTGCTGGACCCAGCTGCTCCTGAAATTGTCAAGGCGTCCTTCAAAGTGGATCAGCAGCTTAGTAAGTAACTTACTTAATTAAACGTACAGGAAACTGAATTGTTGTATAAGTAAAGCATTAAGTTATCAGAATGGAATTCCACTTACTACTTCGGTATAGTAGAACTTTGCTCTTTACGAGATTAGAAGTTATTTTTAGACAGAGTGGGATGGAAATAACTAACTACGCATGTTTGTAGTAGTCATAGATGTCATCAACCTATGTTCTAGAAACTATACATCAAACTGTAAACTTAAAAATGTTGTTATATGATAGTGCACAGTGTGTATAACTATGTACATATTTTTTCAATACAAATAGTTAAATACTTATAAAAGCTAAACAATAAAAAATATATGAAATTGGGATTTTAAAATAAATTTTGTATACTGCAGTGTTGAATTGAGGACAGCTAATATAACCCTATTTTTTAAGTAAATTTACAATTTTTTATGCAATAACTTCTCCCAAAGTTTTTTCATCGTACGGATGTGATCGGAAGGAAGCGTTATGTGTATAGTCTACCATTATCATTCTTACAATTTTGATCATATTCAGTTTTGTAAAAAAAAACTAAGAAATATCTACTCTTAAACTTCAATGTATTGTTTGTATAAGGTGGCGTAAACTCATCTGCAATAATAACTTCTCTCCGCACTTTCGATCGTGAGGAGCAGAAGCAGTATCTAGTGCCTATACTTATACAAGACAGCGGTAGTCCACGCCAGACGGGGACATCTACCTTGACGGTCGTCATAGGAGATATCAACGACAACTTTATGTCACCTGGGGAAAAAGATATTCTAGTGTACAACTACATGGTTAGTGAAACATTAAAAACCCTATTTTATCTCTCAATTATGTTATAGAACTTATGAACTTACGTTGAAACGAAAAAAGTACAATAAATTTTTTTTTATGTACAGGATATCCCACGAAGGGGTTTAAACGTTTGATTTTATATTACTTCCCCATTTATGCTTCGAATATTTTGAAACTTTACAAAATTTATACGTACGTTTTAAAAAATATTCTGGGAAAATTTCAGCTCCCTACCACTTGTAAATACAAAATAGTGGCATAGTAAAAAATAATACTTTTAAGTTTTGTAAAATATTTTTATTAGCACATCCTAGGGAAATAAGCCTTTTTCATCAGGAAATTAGAACACAGCCTAATGAAAACCCTAAAAATAGAGTCCAAAACTAACTGTGATCCATCACCAGTTAATACAAAATAATTTATTAATTTATTTTATATAATTATTTAAAAAAAAAATACCATATGCCACCATTTTCTCTCTACAAGGAGCTGAAATTTTCCCAGAATATTTTTAAAACCTACTTTATAATTTGTGTAAAGTTTCAAAATATTCTGTCTATAAATTAGCAAGAAATATAAAATCAAACGATTAAACGTCTTCATGGGGCACCCTGTATATACTCTATATTTATTTATTTGTTTGGTAAAGAAGATATAATATTTTAATCACTATACATATACATTAAACACAAAAAGTTTATTCAAAGCAAATTTTGAAAGAAAAAGAAAATCATAAACTATTTACTAATTTTACACATGCAACAACAAATTATAATTTGTTGGTGCATGTATACTGTGTGTTTTTTACACGAAGGTTTTTACATAATGTTTAATACTTACCCTGATGAAATGTACCTTAAAACCATCATATATAGCCTCAAAAGCATAACTGTGTCAATGACTTATTTAATTTCCAGGGACAGATGCCTGACGCTGAAATCGGAACTGTGTGGGTCAGGGATCAGGACGATTGGGACGCAGCCGATAAGACCGTCTCTTGGGATGGTCCCGAGCACAGAAACTTTCGATTGAAGGAGGAAACAGGCATGCTAACTTTACGCCAAGGTACACCACCTGGGACCTACCTTCTCAAGTTCAAGGTTAGAGAAAAATAAAAGAAAGTTCCACTTTCGAATATCCATTTTTACATTCTGTTAATCATTTTCTAAATATTTTACCTAATATTTATAAATAAAAAGTGAAATGTAATGTATACTGTGTTAAATCTTTCCGTAATAGTTAGTCTTAATAACAATAATATGTTATAAATTTTTGAAGACAGTACAACACTTTTGTTTAATTAAATTTTGTATTTTTTACAAAACTTAAAAAAACATTATAAAACAAACACGTATGTTTTGTGATAAATTGTCTATATCACCTGTAGATTCCCATATACTGTATAATAACAGGTGTAGATTCTTATATTTATTAATAGGTGAATGAAATCATTGTTCCTAACTACTATTTTTAATTATAGCAGTATCGAAATAACAATTAGACTTTGTTTTAGGTTTTTGACCGTAGACACGTACAACGAGACGTGTCCGCCAATGTTACAGTGGAAGTCAGAGAAATCCCACATCAAGCAGTTTCTCAGGCTTCTTCCTTTAGATTATCAGGCATCACGGACCAAGATTTTATCAGAGTTTTCGATCACAATGTAAGCAGTATACATTAGTTTATTATACTTCATTTGGTTTATATTTGTAACATGGATTTACAAACACGGTTATGATCACAAATTTAAACCTTCTTTAAAACTGAACTAGTTGTTTATCCATGGGCTTCACCCTTTCTCTTCATAATTATTATTAAAACTATTGATTGGTTAAGTTAAGTTAAGCTGAAATCAACAAACCAGAATGCAGTAATACAAACAAATAATGACACGTCTAACAAACAAATATGTACAGCTGAGGTATTTTTAAGCATTATGTATATAGCAAGTTCCCTTTAGAAAGCAATCACGACCTTAAAGGGCAATTTATGAAATAGTGGATAGTTTTGCACAAGGTTTCTTGTAATGACCAACGAACTATACTACTGGAACGCGCGCTGGGCCTACAGATCCGAGCCGGAATCTGGGGTTGCGTCTGGGGTCTGCAGGCGCCAACTGGTGGCAAGAACACGGGCCGCGACACGGTATATGCACTACAATATTGCTCTCGCAGCACTTAAAATGCCATGTAGACTCTGAAATAGTCATATTTTATAATATATATTTTTTAAAAAATGTTAATAACGGTTTTAATTAATGGTTTTCCTTTGTCATTTGGTATTCAGAATATTTATACAAAATATATTAAAACTTATAGATGTAACGTAACTGGTAACTTTCATATTGAGTTTGTAATTAGGACTAAGAATGTCTAAATATGTACCAGGTAAAATAATACAACAATTTGTTTTTAATAATTGTATTTTATTTTAAGAATAGCTTTACAACATTGTACAAACATGACGTAGTTAATCTACATGTTAGAAAACAAAATTAATTTTGTCAACTTTTGTCTTATTCCTAACTTGGAATAATTAGTCATGTCCAAAGTTTTCTGTTTTGCTATGTGGTGAGATACAATTTTAAAAAATATTTGAGCCACAGATTTAATCAAAAATAGTTCGTGGCTTCCAGTAAATTCATCATTACTCAAGTGCCCTTTGAAAACAGTACATGTGAAGTTGTTACACACTCTCATGGTTAAATCACTAGTGGTAGCCTTTGTTTCTGTTAATTTGAGTAAATAAGCATATTTTACAATCTTAAATACATCGTCACTTGCCCTAATTAGTTTGCCTTTAGATTTAAAATCAGTAAACCTTGTGTGTGATTTAAGGTCGGAATCACCGGTATGGAGTAGAGAGCTACATTCGTTGCATTTTATGTTCTTTTCTATACGCCTTACAATGACGCCACAAATGTAGTATAAAATTTCATCCTTATAACTAGAATGATCATAACTTTCCATGGCGTACATTGCCTTATCAATTTCACTATCGTCCTCTATGGGCAAATCACACTTGTCATGACCCAACTGTAGAAGGCCGAGGTGTGAGCTTGGGTCAAACTCAACGCAGTTAGCGTTTTCAGAAGCCCTAACACTGTTGCGGAACATAAGTTGCCTAACCGCCCAAGTGAACTGTTTGGTGTTGGGATTGTCGTTATTCCCACCCCTACTTCTAACACAGGAAAAAAATAATTCCAAATGGTCTTGACTTAACTTATAGGCTAACAAATAGCTAAAGTCATCTAAAGCTAACAACCTCTCTCTTAAAATACGTATACTCTTAATGTTACTTAAAAATCCTAGAGCAAATGTCTTTCTAGCATGATCTAAAATTGGCTTATTCTCAATTTCAAGTTTTGACAAGTACTGCTCTGCTTTATTAAGCATTTCATCATCTTTCCCTTGATTTTCCAATTTTATGGGGCCTTTGAACCCTTTTCCGTAAGGATCCCTGCTGTTTAAAAAATCAAAGAGGTCATTTATCACTCTTATAAACTCTACTGTTGGTAAACAGTTTATAAAATCAGGATGTTGATTCACACACAAATATTCTAAAGCGTCCGCTACGCTGGAACTTAATGTTTGTCCTGCAACTTTAACATTCATTTTTCGGTTTCTATAGAAAACATGTTTGTCAGACAATTTGTTACACATTTTTAACCCCAATTTTTTCTGTAAGTTGTTCAGCTCTTCAATATACTTGAAACAAATACTACCCGACTCAGATGTTATAACTTTCATGTCTGCTAGAGCATTTCGGGCAAGTTTTAACATATGTGGAGGATCTAAAATAGCACATATATTATAGGTGATGGGATCAAGTTTAAAAAATGGTGTGTCAGGAAATTTACAGCCTAAATGTTTCAAAGCACTTACGTTTGTGCTTGTTCCGTCAAAGGTCACACTTTGGACATTCACACCAACTTCATTCAGTTTCAGTACTGCCACTTTAATCAGCTGAGACAGTAAAATTGAAGAAGTTTTATTTACAAAAAAATAACCAACAACACACTTAAAATTGCCTCTAAGTGAAACTATTTGGAAAACTAAAGCTTCTGTAGCAATTTCTTCCTCATTATCTATTTTAAACCCTCCAATATCTACATATCCCACGTTTTTCCCCAACTTCTCATCATAAATTATTTGTTTTCTAATGCTCATTGAGTCGAATACTAAACTTACGTTTTGCAAGTGTTTCTGGTCTTTTGCATTATTTTGTAAATAAATAAACACTTCTTCCAAAAACCCAGGTCTACAATTAAACTTTGAGATCCATTTTCTTAGTGAGGCAGGATTAGGTAATATTAAATTGGATGCCCTCAAATATCTGTAAGCCTTGGGCGAATAAAAGTACAGTGTTAGTGCAAACTCTTTTACTTTTTCTGAAAACGTATGTTTATTCTTACTGATATCTTTGTTTTTGAGATTACTTAATAATAATTCAAGAGGAAACCCTGTAAAATTGTTTTCTAAAATTTCAATCAATGTCTCTGGCGCTTTTAATTTATTTTGTAAAACTGAAATTAAACCTTTCATTGACCTTATTTTACATTCCCTTCTTTTTAATTTTTGCTGCAGAATTTTCACTTTTCGGCGTAAGTGCACTTTGGTGGGAGATGGTAATGCGGGTCGGATCAGTTTGTCCTAGAATCAAGGAAAATTCAGTCAATTTAATTATATATTTTGAGTTTTAAGTGCTATGTTCGTTGAAATACAAAACGTCTATGTATATTAACTTACCGGCGTTTGAGGCGATATCTTCTGAGCAGGCGCTTTCGGTGGCGTTGTATAGTTCGTTGGTGGTGTTGGTGGTAATAGGATTATTTCCTGATTGGCCGCATTCAGTGGTGATTGAGAAAGATCTTGTTCCACCGTCGGTGCAATCTGCAAAACAATAATGCATTGTAATTTTTACGGGGAATTATATGCATAAGACCAGGACTTTTTATCTATAAATCAATTAGGCATTAATAAAAATTATAACTGCCTTCAGGCCTTTCAAGACTAAACTCTATTAAATATATATCAACCAACGAACCATACTACTTACCTACTACCTAACAAACTGTAGTACAGTTCGTTGATATCAACAAATCAAACACCATTCAATACATTTAAACCAACGAACTATACTAGATACTGTATACTACTATACTATACAATACTGTATACTATAGTAATAGTATATAGTAACTAATTACTATACTGTAGTATAGTGCGTTGTTTTAAACGAAGGAGGCATTCCATCAATAACTATAGCCTACATTAATTTCAAGTTTCAAAAATGTCTTTCTGTGCTATAAAAATAGTTTGTTTACTTTAAAAACTTACCGATGAAATAGACGTGCCAGGTTTACATTGCAGATCATGGGGTAACTCAACGGGTAATTCCTGTCTGAGTAGTATTCTTCTCTGTTTTGGAGGTCGTTGTTGTAAATAAGATGGAAAATCAAAAACTGTAGGAATTGCTTCATTTTTGAGTCTTCTTAATTTAGTGTTTGGCAAAATTAAATGATAATCAACTTGTGTGAAATGTTTGCTGCATAAAAAGCTATAATTTGTGGGCTTGAAATTTTTCCTCTTTGTCGCAGTTATCCACTTTTTTAGAAGATTTTCATCATGCAATGGGAATCTAAAACAAAAATATACATCACATTAAATACAGGTAGCTTAAAATAACAAAGGTTCAAGCAGGACGTTCATTAGATTATGTTTGTTTAGTTCAGTACTGGTTTGAGTTAATAAAGGATATAAAAAATCATTAACTAGAAGACCAACATCAATAGTTTTGATCATTATGCACTACCTGGCCATGTTTTTATTTCACTCTAAAAATATTAGTTTAAAAAATATGAAATGCAGGCCTAATAATTTTATACCAAGCAAACATTACTTCGTGAAATATTGACTAAATTCGTTGACGTTAACCAAGTTAGCTTATTAACAGGCTGAAGAATTTACGTAGGCTACTTACAACTTTTAGATTATGAGGGCTATACAAATATGTAATAACATTGGTCAAAAGCATACTAATTAGATATTGCTTAATCTGTTAGGGATTCAGCATGCAATACAGTGAGGACTTACCTGTGAAAAGAAATGTCACTGTCTTTGGTCCATCTTGACGTACAATTGTACGCAGCGCAACTTTTAACCATTTTACAAAACAAAACAACATCACAAACAATAAATACTTCTTGTGTTGTATGGAGCAGACGTACAGAACTGAATACGAAGTACAGAGAATAACCTATAACTTTTCCCGCCAATTAGTGTTGCGACGTAAAAAGGCGGGAAGGCAAAAGGCGGGAAAGTAGTCTCGACGTATTCTTGCCACCAGTTAGCGCCTGCGCGGCCCTGGATGCAAACGCAACACACCGCTGCATGCGCTCGGAAACTACAACATGCGGCTTATGGGCAGCGCGCGTTCCAGTAGTATAGTTCGTTGGTAATGACAAACATTTTAAGGATATAGTTTATGGAAGTGTGACTTCAAGTTTTCTCTAAAGTTTTTTTGTGATCAGAACTTTGGGATTTTTAAAAGGATTAGTTTAGTTAAAATTAAATTAATTTATATTAAAATAATATGTAATACTATCGCATGTCTAGACTGAGACTAGAATACGCAGCAAGGCAGATCTTCTTCGTGAGAAACTTGCGGGACTGTTGGGCGTGTCGTCATCAGATGTGTACATCGTGAACGTTCGGCAACGCTCGTCAAGTCCACCAATCACAGACGTCTGGTACTCGGGGCACAACGGTCGCCAACACTACTTTACAGCCATCAGGTTACAAGCGACCGCATTGCTTCATTGGGCTGAGGTGTGTAACTGTTCCTAAACTATAGGTGATAGTTTTGCTGAAACCCCGGTCTGACACGGGAATTTTTACAAACACATGTTGGCAACACTGTTTACGTGGGGAATTCCATTCCCCCAATACCATTCCTCATTTTCCTTCCCTACTTTTCGATATATTGTTTGTTCATTTTGGGTGGGTGCCGTGACCTTGACAGGTTGTCTGGTCACCATGTCTGGTCACATGCCCGTCGTTAGTGTATTTTAAAGGGGGGTCTCACTGGCCCAAGGTTTCAGTTTGTGTGTTTCTATACGGGGTCACATAGACCGGGGGTTTCAGTTAATACAGCCTGGGTAGGGTTTAGGTATTAGTGTTAAAAAGGTCTACAATAATTTTATATAAACATAACTTTTGCTTCATCAATGTACTGTAAGTTCACTTTTAGTGTTTTTCATTCAATATTACGATGATAAAATAGAATAGTCAGTTACTTGATATTGGTTTTTGCGAAAATCTTTCTGAATTATTTATAAGTCCACTTTTCCAGATAGAATCGTACGTTGGTGTAAACATCAGTATGGTTGGAGTAAACGAGTGCATGGACGAAGATAGATGTGATGGTAGTTGTACAACAACGATAAAATACGGACCAGGAACCCACTTAGTGAATGCCAACTGTACTGCACTCTCCGGCGTTCAGGTACGAAAACTGTTAGTTATCTTAATATAGGTGGTTGATTCTACACCCAATATTTTAACCAAATTAAATATAACAATTTTTTAAAGTTTATTTAATTATTGTCTTATTTTATCAGAATCATAGTAAGACCTTTTTACCTTGAAAACGATCTTAAACCGAGGGAGTTTTCTTTGAATGTTTGCACTTCAATGGAATATAATGATATACCCTTTCTAAAATGAACAGATGTTAACATTTTTTTATTTCATAAACCTTTTAAAAACAAATCGATAGCTTAAAAAGGTCTCACAAGTAACAATAGGACGCTTAAAAGACAAAACTTTAACACAAAACTATTGATCATCACAGGTGGAAGTGAAGGCAGAATGTTCATGTGGCGCTAGAAACTTTTCCGTCCCAGTCACATGTGCAGATCGACCTTGCTTCAATGGAGGACACTGTCGTCAAAACAAGTATGGATATAGGTGAGGCAAAATTAATTTATGCTACGTTTATGTGGCTAGGTAAATAGTATACGCGATCATTCGCCAAGGAAAACTTTCTGTCTAAAGCTAGTTAATTGTTTTTTTTATAGTGATTTATTACCGATTAAAAATAGTTTTGTTGTATTTTAATTCAAAATTAATACTACAACATCAAAGAAAAAATAGGTGTCAATATACGAATAGTTTCTAACATAATTCTAAGCCTGTTTTTTATACATTTTATAAAATTATGATTTTTAAACTGACTTTATTTGTTAGGTTTTTAGCTAAATATTTAAAGTTTAATCAAAATTTTTTTTTCAAATCCGAATAGGAATATATAAATTATATAATCGTTTAATATATATTCTAACTGTTTTTTTTCGTAGGAGAAACCATGCTTGTATGAACAAAATATAATTAAACATCTACGTGAATCAGATTTATTTTTTTTTGTGTTAAAGTTTTACCGTATTATAATTTGTGAAATTTTGAGAATAATTTTGACTTAAGAGTCTTCATCAGTGGTAGCCATATTGGATTTTAGTCCCATAAGAACAATGTTAACTTTGTAACAGAATTTCTAAATAACCTGTTGTGATAAAAATAAATAATAATGAGGTGTTCAATCCAATATCCAAAAATCTTAAATCCAATACAGCTACCACTGATGAAGACTCTTAAGAACTGAAGCTGACTCATGATGGTGTTCCATTCCTTGATCAGGTGCAGCTGCAGTAGAGGCTACACAGGTGCCAGGTGTCAGCAGGTGGCTCGTAGCTTCAGGGGTGGAGGCTACGCATGGTTCCCTCCCCTACAAACATGTGATAGCTCCCACCTGAGCCTAGAGTTTGTCACTTTCAACACTGATGGTCAACTGTTGTACAACGGTCCTGTTGTGCCAACAAAACCCGGGGAGCAGCGAGTATCAGGTAGAACTTTTACAAATCATAAAACGTATAAAACAGTGAATTTACAATTTAACATTTCTGTTTGAATCTAAAAAAGATCTAGCTAACAGTTTTCTTTTTGTATTACTGTATGTTGGCTGCTATGAGTGCAAATTGGGTAAATTCGTGTAGGGGTAAGCTATTCCAATATTAAAATGATATATTTACATAAAGCATCTCAAAGTTATATTCAATTACTATTTCAATGATAAGTGGTAACTATATATTTTTTCCCTTAACTACTTTTATTTAATTGATACTACATGTGGTTTGCACGTGGTGGTATTTTTTCCTGATTAATATTATTTTGTTTGCTTTTGCACTAGTTTAGTGAACGTATGCATTTTGTTATTTATTTGTTTGAACAACACGATTTGTTCGATCAGTTTTTTGCTCAAGATAATTAATTTAAAATATATAACTCTAGGTGATGCAAAAGTCCCTGGTAAAAAAAAGCATTAAAACATATTTCAAATTGTAAAAATAGCATGCATCATTTTCCGGATTGGATCCATGATCCATCATTGTCCTGCACGTATACACAACTTAAGTACATAACTCAGGTTTTTAAGTTTTAAAATTAAAATGTTTTTTTATTATATACAGTTTTTAAAATATTATATGCAATTTATCCACATTTATCTAGCGTTGATAACATACTGGTTGGAGAGTTAAATACTAGATTTTATAATTTAGTGTATGATTGTTTTTCAGACTACATATCGCTAGAGCTTACCAAAGGAAATCCTCGTCTCCTTATCGACTTGGGTTCAGGGACCTTGGAGTTAAAAATAAAGACTAAAAAAGGGCTCAACGATGGTGACTGGCATAGACTGGACGTTTTATGGCATAAGCAGGTTAGTAAACCATATGTGTTACCTGAAAATTGTAAAATGTGCACTAAATTGTAAAATGTGTTAGCTTTATTTTAAATTCACCATTTTATATAAACATTTCGAAGACCATGTATATATGGGCTAAGTTTGTGTGAGGCTCAAAAGAGAGTAAAATTTAAAATAAATAACGGTCTTGTTAGAAATGTAAAGATACAAGGATTTTCTTTGACAAGATTCTGACATCAAAGCACCTGTTGATGCCAAACGTCATCTCACATTTACCTCGTCAAGCGTGTCAAGATTCTTTTCACTACTTTACAATTTAAATAAAACTATACTCCTTGTGTTTGGTCAGAGGTTGTTTGCAAACACCAAAGAAAACCCATTTCTAATCCACATTACGCTTTGAAATACCGTTGTAATTTGCAACTTTGAGATTTATGTATCTGGTCCAAGTATTTACCTTAGTGAAACCTAACGTTTAATAACGAATTGTTGTAATTGTTAACACTTTTAACATTTTGAAATGTTAAAGATATGTTTTGTATTTTGTAAATAGAATATTAACATAAATTAATACAGGATTTATAATGTTGCCTTTGATTTTTTTTTTCATACAACTTAAAACACAAGTATAGATAGGGTGCCACTAGTATTGTTTTGCTTGATGTTATATCTAAAAATCAATTACTTAGAACCTAGCAGCAACTTAATAAATGACTTCAATATAGGTACCGAACGAGTAAATTCTACTTTATTGTATATTTTTAAAATTTTCACGTCAAAATTATTTAAACAAGTGGCCAAACATAGTAACATAATTGTACGTACAATATAATATTGTACCTTGTTTCATTTCATAATTATAAAAAAAAATTGTTTCTTAGTTTATGTAAAGTCTCTGATTTTAAATAACAAATAGTATGTAATTATCAAAAGATCAGTTTATAAACTACTTTAGCTTTTACTATTTTCTCTAGGATGTGACCTTGATGGTAGACTTCTGTCGGTCAGCTGATGTGAACGAGACAGACGACGGAGTATCTTCGTCCTACGATGACTCAAGCTGCAGAGTCAGCGGAGTCACCCCTAACTTCAACGAGCGATTGAATCTCGCAACTCCCCTACAACTTGGGGGCCGACTGGTCAGGGAGCTTGACCCCACTCTCTTCCAGTGGAAAGCAGTGCCTTATGGGGTCGGCTTTGACGGCTGCATTAGAAATGTCTTCCATAATAGCATTGTACGTATTATAAAACATAAAACAATTTTTTTATGATTTAAAAGAAATATTTTGATATTTCCTGTAATTTTTTTTAGTTAACCAACATAAGAAAATTACTTTGTTGCAATAAAAAGTATATTTAAGTAATTTTGGTTAGTCAAATTTTTATTTACTTTAGTAATTAAAATACAATGTATCATGAATATTTATAAACTAGTGGCTTGTAGGGGCAATAGCCCCTATATGTATATTTTAGTAACTATTTTGTACAAATTACATGTGGGTTACCTTGAATTATCGTTTAACATTTGTGTATGTTAACACTGGTTTTTTTCTAATAAATGCCAACTTTTGTGAAGGTTTGGCCTTGCACTTTATTCATAATAATAGTGAAAGCTATTTCCAATGGGCATTGAATCCTTGTAAACTTAAACGGCATAATGAAGATCTGTAGATATTAGTTTAATTTTTGGCATGAAAAATATGTCCCCTTTGCCTACTCCAGTAATTACTTCTATCTTTACACTTATTTCAGACATACCTACACAACCAATCGTACTTCATTAACTCCAGACCCTTAAATTTGGGAAAAAGTTTATATCAGCTTTATAAATAGTATCCTACACATATTAAAGTAATGACATTACATACCATATGCTTTAAATAAAGTTAAACCACATGTTTAAAAGTAAACAAAGCAGACATGACCTAGATTCCCATGCTATTTCAATGTGAATTATTCTATTCCGTAGCAACTTTTTGGTGCAAGATTATGAAAAATGAATAATTTTCCCCAAAATTTCATGCCCAGACCTTTAAAATGAGACCTCTCCCAGCTTTCTACGGCCTCCCGTTAGCTCACAATTTCATTGTAAAATTTTGGGCTTACAGAATTAGATATATAGATTTTTATGAATATACATTATACTTTGAACAAAGTGGATTTTAAGGGAGGTTAAAATTAAACATTTTAACTTTATTAATAAGTTCACAATTCTGTCTTTAAGCTTCTATAATATAGTAATTCGTATTTCTCAGAAAACCCTTGAAGCGTGTATGTAATGTTTACACAAACAAATACGCAATTCATCCTGCCACACTTGAGAGGATTACACAACAATGAAAACTCTAAACATTCAAACCATTACTCTCGACTGAAGAACATCTGTAAAGGTAAACTGTTTGGAGGAAGTTTCTTTTCTCGTTGTTACTTTTCTTTTCCCTACATTCAACATCAACATGTAGTAAATATTTAACGTTGTGATAACACAGCATATATTTGTTTCACATGTTCCAGGGAGAAATAAACAATATTATTTTTATAGCCCCTTTCCTTAAACCATTTCCTCCATAGTTTTTATGCAAATATGTGGTATTTTTCACCCATGTTTGAAAACAAATAAAAAAGGTTATTTTTGTTCGCAAGTCTAAAAAAAAAAACTGACTGTGTAGTTAAATAAACCCAAAACAATTATTATGTAGAGGGATTAAATGGGTTTCTTTAGTTTAATTTAGTATCTGCTATTGTAAATAACAAAATTAGGTTCTTGAAATACACTAGAGTTTTAATAATTTATATAAATACTATTTGATTCATCCACGAACTGCATGTTTTAAGCCTGATTTTAAAGTAAATTAAAATTAAAATATTCCAATACCCATATTCTTTTCAAAGATCTAGATCCAAACCGTAAAATATGAAGAGTGGTTTGCCTACCTCAATCAGGTTGCAATCATCATAAAAGAAGCATATTTAACATGCATTACCATAAACGATTTTATCTGTCTGTTGTTTACAATCTGACTCTGTTAAACATTCAATTCCAGGATCAGCTGTTACATTACAATTAATCTTTAAGCCGTTGTAAAGCAAGTTTTTATCAACAATTCATCATCCTTGTAGTGGACTCTATAAACAATATAAACTTAAGGGGGGGGAGGGGGTGAAGCCCTTTAGGAATCGAAACTATTCGTTACCATTCGCAGGTGTTCTGGATCCTATACGCTTTAAAAATACATATCAATCATGATAATCGGTAGGGTAGGGCAGCTGAAAAAGGGTTGTTACAGAGAAACTCTACATACTAAGTATATAGTAAACTCTATTTTTCAGCTGTACGACCTGGGCAGTCCCGGCCTCTCCCGCGGTTCAGTGGCTGGTTGTCCCCAAGCAGAAGTGCGATGTGAACCAGTCTCCTGCGCCTACCAGGGACGCTGTGAGGCGAGTCTGCGCGAGGCGAGGTGCGTCTGCCGCCCTGGCTACACAGGCCCTGCCTGCGCTACGCCCACCATACCTGCGGCCTTCAAACCACACAGCTACGTCAAGTACGCACTCTCCTTCGAGCCTGACCGCTACTCATCACAGGTAAAACATCTCATTTATAATACGGGTGGTGTTGAATACATGTTTAAATTGAATGGACATTTGTATTTGCAGTGGTAAATAAATGTTCTGCTGGATCTAGAACGTCTTTTGCCTATTAACGTGCAAGTTCTAACTCAATCAAAGACAATATATACTCCTAGGGGGAGCGAGCTGGCGTAGTGGCTAGAGCGCGGGACTTCGGTCCGTGAGGTCCCGGGTTCGATCCCCGCCAAGTCACCAATGGATTTTATCTAAGTGATAATGCCGCAACCCCTAGGTCTAGCCTGAAGTAATGTGAAAAACAATCCCAGGCTCGTGCCTAGCGTCCTAGGACAAAAAAAAAAAAAAAAAAATATGTATACTCCTAAAGATATTCATTAATTATTTGTATATTTATAACTAAAATCAAGAGACTGTAGAAAAGTTCATTGGTATGGCATTCGATGACGCATTATTTGTTATTTCTAGTACCAAACAATTCATCTAAGAGTTAAAATATAGATGGCATTAGTATACAAGCGGTGGTTTATAGTAAATAAATTTGAATGTTTACTTTTCAACTTTTCGTGGAGAGTTAAGATTGCGGTGAATCCTTCATTAACTTTGTTACTTAAAGAAGAGGCATACTCGTTTATTGAACCTTTAGTAGTAAGTATGTTCCGTATGTATGTATTTTCAGGTTATATATGTGTCTCTTGTAAGTCGTAAAATTACATTTAAATTATACGTGAATGAAAACCTTGTTTAAAGTCGTTTACTAAACAACTGGTTTCTGTGTATGCGTATTAAAAGTAAATTTACAAAATGAGTATTCAATCCAAACAATAAAAGCGTTTGGTTTTATATAATCAAACTTAATGCAACATTCGCTCAAATTGAAACATGTTTTTATATTTCAGATGCAGTTACGGTTTCGAACTAGGGAGCCTTCAGGCGAGTTATTTCGTACAACTGACCAGCACAACAAGGAATATGCCGTCCTTGAGGTATGAATAAAGTTTTGAAAGATATCAAAGTTACTACAGTAACACATAACTTTATTGATGGCTTACATTATCGTTTAAAATCCAATTCATTGATGGCAGATTGCGGTTTGAATTCGATCTAAACGTTAACCATTACCATCTCTTAGCTGATAAACAAAAATGCGATACTTGCTAGACTAACAGTAAGATATGGTATATAGTACTTCTTCAATGTAGGTCTTTCGAGTATACTTCATATCTAAGTTAAAAGGGTGTGGTTAAAATTTAACTTGAAAAGTGGTTTTAGAGAAGGTTGTGAGCGTGCCAAACTAACAATGAATAATAGCAAAAGTGTGCAGATTGTGAACTCCTATTTTTTTCTTCTTCAGATTATAGGAAGGTTGAAGTTTATAATTTAAACTGTGGAATAACTTTAGAGACGGTTGGTTGTCTGGATTACATGAATGTAGATATGACCGATTACTGTACGTTTCAGATAGTAGATGGCAGGCTGCAGTTCAAATTCAATCTGCATGGTGGTACAACGTCAGAGACCATTGTCAGCTTAGCCAACCTGACAGTGAATGATGGGCAGTGGCACGAAGTCAATGTGAGTTAGAATTCAATATGTATTAGATTTAGTAACGTAATTTGCTTTCTGTATTTGCTCTTAAAAAGCCACAAATAGAGATATGAGGACGGAGTATGTTATTTGATCTGCCTCAAGTTAGTTAAAAAATGAAAGAATCATGGATTTTTCCAATTTAACATAGCGTAGGGTTTGAACCAAAGGCATAGCATGAAATAATGTTTTCATAACAGTATAAATACAGCGGATTTATTAGACGTAACATTTTAAAAGAATAAATAGATGTAGACACTTATTGATAATGCAGATTGAGAACTAAAAAATAACGTCATTCATACTCCTATAAGTGTGTTATTTTACATTGATAAATCGGAATTGTATTGCGTTGCTTACTGTGGGCCCACCATGAGCTGAGAGCAAGTTATTTGATCTTCTAAAATAGGATTAATACAATATAAAACACATTGGATGTTATTCGGCCAAAACGAATTAACCATACAACAGCTAAACTTACTGATAGATAAAATTCCCTAGTTTTTAATGAAGAAGATTTATAAATTAAGTACGTCAAATTGTATTGTTGTCCTTCCAACTCATGTACTGTGATTTTTCCCATGCCATCCAAGGCGTGGAGGCATGGCTGTTCAGCGTCTCTAGCCATTGACGGAGAAGAAGGTCCTCAGTACAACGAGACCCTCCCCACATCCTGTAGTCATCACTGGCTGGTGGTAGACAAGCAGGAGGGAGTGTATGCTGGTGGCAAGGCGGAGTATACAGGGGTGAGAACGTTTGAGGTCCAACACGACTTTCACGATGGTAAGCTATTGAAATATAATAATTAAATTCAAGTAATATAATTAGTTTTAAAGTACAAATTACCAAACATTGATTTGATATGGTTATTTTTGGGACAAGTGTTTATCTATTTACGGTTAGGCTAACAACATTTAGTTCTAATTTATTATATTTATTGAAAATTATTATTCTTCCTTGTAAAACCTCTTGTTTATGATTTTAAACTAAGTCATTACTCTCGAGACCTTGTTTGAATTTAAAATGTAACTACTTATTCCAAATTATCTAGTTCGTATAATATGTAATAGCAGGATATTGAAATCAAGTGGTAAAAACCATTGAAAAGCATAGCAACTCTTGAATTAAAAGTCGACGTAAGCCAGCAGAGCCAGATGTGCACAGCCATATACACATGGAGTATTGTATATGGAGCATATAGCCATATGCACTGTGGATGCAATACTCTCTGATGTGGATTAACCTCCGCACGGGTGAGTACTCCGACTATCCGCAGTACTATCCTGATAATTAGACCAATTCGTATATACCAAGGCATAAATGTGGTTTGGATTCCACTATAAACTGTAGGTCCCTTAGTTGCCATTAGCTGTATGGGCTATTAATTAACAGATGTGTCTAAGGAATATGTCGGCCTTAGTCACTAACAAGACTACAAGATCGCGCCACTACACTCATCTCCATTCATAGTCGGCTTAAAATACCTACTTTATATGGACGCCATTTAAATTAAGAGTATTTAAAAAAGTATTTTAAGTTGGTTTTGAAACAGAAATGATTGATGTCATAGGCTGTCTGGACGATGTGAGACTGGACGGCAGGTTCTTGCCTCTCCCGCCAGCCATGAACGGCACACAATGGGGACAGGCTACGATGGCGCGGAACCTAGACAAGTTTTGTCCATCGAGCAACTCCTGCCACACAGCAGTCTGTCCTGACCCATTCATCTGTGTGGACTTGTGGCATGAGTTTGAATGCTCGTAAGTAGTCCTTAATACTGTATCTTATTGTTTAGATGTAGGATTATATCGTGTTAATATTATTAGTCAAATATTACACTACAATCCATGAAATGTCGTTGGTTTATTTCTAAACAAAATAATTTCTAAAGCTTAATTTATTCTCTTCTAGGATAAAATTGCTTTTGGGGCAAATTTTTGAAAAAGTCCCAACCAACAATCAAACCATATTACTCAAAATAATTGCATTAAATAAGTATTGTTCATTACTAACCACACCACACATGAATGCCGTTAGGTGTGGAGAGGGGCGAGTGCCTACCTCAGACGGCAGAGACTGTGTGGATGAGAACGAGTGTATCGACAGCCCATGCAGGAACGGAGGAGTCTGCGTCAACCAGGAACCACGGCTGCGCTACCGCTGTCTGTGTCCTGCGCCGTTCCTTGGCAAGAACTGTGACGTCGTCCCCGAGAGACAGACCGTCAAACTGGGTCTGCCTGCGCTCATCACCATACTCGCCTCTCTGTTTTTTATACTGAGTAAGCAACTGTTCCTTTTCCTGTGTTACTTTGTATTACTTGTAACAGTATACTGTCAAAATGCTTTTGAATTGTAAAGTATAAATGTTCTGATGGAAACCTTTTTTGAATAAGGAAAAACACAATGCTTGCACTCACCCAGGTACAAATCTGTATATATCACTATTACCAATAAGACCTTTATAAAAAAAAAACAGATAACCTAACTTCACCCGAAATAAAAACCTAATCTTAAATAAAATTAATTTATATTTTTGGAAAATAGCTGCTTACGCATATGTTTTACCAAACCTAAAATTTCTATAGCCGGACGAATAATAAGCGATATATTGTTTCAAATTTTAGAAAGACTTTCCGACAATTACCTGTCAAATATAAACATATATTAGGAATATATTCAATAAATTAATTTGACAAATAACCTACTGATTCTTCATATATTAAATCAAGATTGACTGAATCTACATATTTAAAGCAAGGTAATTATTGTATTAAAGCCAAATAATGTATAAGCGAACAGTTTGTTTGCAATGACTGTATTGATTTATGCTGTTAACAGAGAGAATACGTTATACTGTAATATTTAGCTATTTTAATTGGTTTGTTCCAGTGATTATTTTACTACTCGTTCTGTACAACCGTCGTCGAGAGGCTGTGGTGGTCAAGAAGCCACGACCTGAGGACGACATCAGGGAGAACATCATCAGCTACAACGACGAGGGAGGGGGAGAGGACGACATGACTGCCTTCGACATATCGCCCCTCCAAGTCCCTCTCACTACCAGCTCAACTTCCAAGACTGATATTATTGCTTGTACGTACTAAACTATATCAAAGCTGAGTATTAGAACTCAGACTGTATTTAAGTTGTTAAATACTTGTTTTGCTACATAGAACTCTTCGCAATAACGTCTAACGCTGAACTGACCTCAACAACGTAATTAACCGTTGTCAACTATCAGTATTGGTTGTGGCTATCGGGTTTTGACATCTAAAGCATTTGCAATTATAACCACTACTAGAAGAGTTTGCAAGGTTGTGTGTGCAAAACTAAGCATAATTCATTTTAAAGTATTTAGGATTAAAACTAAATTCAACTTAGCAATTAAATAACGTACATTACACATCTCATAATAGTAGGTTACAATAAAGCAGTGATAAAATTTTGTTCTTACATAGTTAAAATACTTTAAAAGAGTACTTTAAACTATAACATAATTTTAAGGTTACTATAAAAAATATAAGGCTACATCTATGCAGACTACTGATGATAGCATTTCTAGTAGTTTTTATGTCCCTCCTAAAATACACAGTTTGTATAATTTTCCCAAATATATTTCATTGTTGTTATATAAAATCTTGGGTGGTCCATAAATAACGTATGGGTTTTAACATGTAAACGGCAGTTAGTCGTATGTTGTATGCATTTAACAGGTAGATTTTTTGAAAATACTACAACAGATATCATGCAATTAACTATTCATGAATCGTTTGACAGTGCAACATCGTGCATTTGACGTTGAAGCATAAAACAAATTTCTGTAAATTTAACCCAGCGATAATTTCGAAATCATTTCAATGTCTGTCATCAAGGCACGGTTCCCTCTGGGGATCCTATATTCCTAAGGTAGATGTTTAAGTTAAAAACTAATGTTTTCGTCATACCGTTGTGCGTAATTTGGCTAAATAAAAATACAAATATAGCTGTTCTAGTTATTTAAAATGTTCCCCTGTTGTTGACAGTGTCCACGTTCAGCGAGGAGCGAGATTGGGGTCCCTCCCTAGCAGCCTGCAGATGTAGAGCTGACAACGACGTGGGTGCGCCTCCCTTCGATGATCTACGGAACTACGCCTACGAGGGAGGTGATAGTGAGACCGGCTCCCTGTCTTCTCTTTGTTCAGGTGAATTGTTTTTATGACTAATTTTGCAACGCATTTTTTTGCCAATTTCCCATATAGGGAATAAGCTATTACCGTAAGTCGCATGGCAAGACCTGGACACCGATTACGTCTTTTGTTTTGAGGTCTCCAGAAGCCAAAACCCATCATCTGTTCAAATGCATATATATATATATACATTGTGACCATTAGCACGATAACTCGAGCTAAAATGAACCATTTTTCACGAAGTTTGGTATACACGTGTAAACCATCGAAGTATATAACACAACTATATGTTGTGTTATATACTTCGATGGTGTAAACCTACATTGATTCGAACTAGTTCGCGAGCCAACATTATCAGACTAAGGGAAAGGGGGTTTATGCGGTCTTTTATGGGTAAAAATTGGGTTTTTTATTTTCCACTCTAAAAACATAACATTTTGCAGTTTCTTTTAAATCATTTCGTAAATTAAAAACTATCAATAGTATATTGAAGCGTTGTTTTATGCCTAACGGTTACGGAAAAAATGGAAAAAGTGTAAATTTAAAATTACCATGACACTGTTATGGAAAATAAATAAACTGTTTTAGCTACTTTTCTATAGACATATTTAAATTTAAAAAAATCGCTTCATACTAAGCTATCAATGTTTCAATAAGACACACCTTATTGTCTTTCCTGTAGTAGAAAACGTAAGTACTAATTTAAATTAATGATATTTAAATAGAAAATACAAATAACATTTTTAAGGGAATAATTTAGTGAAAATTCCAGCTTAGTCTGCAGGTTTCCTGGGTGGGGGTAATTTCTCTATGTGCAGTATTGGGATGTAATAACAGTGTTCTTGTACATTGTATTTAATGGCCAATAAGCTTCTTGATTCTTGATTCTTTTGTCAGTAGTTAATTAAGAAGAATAGTTGAATATTTGAGGAGTTATGGAAAGCTGTTGAATATCACTAATAAATAATGTGTTGACATTCAACATTGAAACAATTGTTGCAATCATATATTTTCATAAGTAAAACATAATGAATAAGTTATGAATGCTTCTACCAAAAATATAAACACGTATTTAAAAAAGACTCTTTCCTTATTGCAAAACAGTCGTAAAACATATAATTCGGGACCAAAATACTATAAAACATGAAATTTTTATAAAGAAATATTGGTGTAAAAAACCTGTTCTCTTATAATCAAAATTTTATGACGTATGATTGTGACTAGATGTAGCTATTTTCCCTTTTAGAGCTAGAGTGCAGTGTTTAAATGCTAAAAAAATATAATTGGAATCCGTAAGTTATACAATATATTTATATGGGGACATTAAAGATGTATTTTAAATTTCAGAGTCAGATGCTAGTCAGCAACTTGACCAGATCCAGCAATGGGGTCCGAAGTTTGTAAGGCTAGCTGCCTTGTATAAGAAACCAGACAAGTCCAACGGTGACGAAGATGAGGAGAATACCTAGCAGTAACTTGACAAAAGAAAAACTATATTTTGTGATATTATCTACGGAACATTATTGTGCTGTCCTTCAAAACGTGTTTTGTACATAATAGGTTAGGTCTAAATATTTTTACGGATTGTAAATCAAAGATACGTCTAATAACACTTAAAACATATATTTAATTACGATTATACTGTTAACTCACAAGACGGTAAATTTACAGAAAATATAGTGTGTGGTGGTAGATTTTGTTTGGACACCCCAATCATCATCAGACCCAATAGGCGAATGGCAAGAATCTTGAATGGCGTCCCTCCTTACATTCTATTGGCTACCGGAAGCACGGGCCAATACATTTGTATAAGTACAACTGGAGTATATTTACCGTCTTGTGAGTTAATAGTTTAAGCGTAAATATAAGTTTTAAGTTTTATTAGACGTATCTTTTATTTACTCACCGTAAATTTAATAGCACGTACAATGCTAATTAAGAAGTTATTTAAATATGTTTAATATTACTTCTGCTAGGTTCTTGAAATCATGTCTTATATCTGTGATTGTATAAAATTTCTGAAATAAATTTGACGTCCAATAAAAAAAATCATTAAAGTGTAAGTGTAAATCGTTATTAATTTATGATTAATAAAATGTGTGAATAACTATTTTACCTTTTAAATTTAATAATAATAGATGACTTGCATAATTGTGATATTAGATCAACCAAGATTCAGAAAGTAATTTATGAAATGCACAGGAATAGAAAATGTAAATCTGTATATATAAGTTTTATTTTTATTTATTACCGTTATTTGAAGTATATGTATTTATGTAAAAACAAGATTTTGTATTAAATAATTTAAGGTTGTTGTAAATATTGAGAATCAACTTTTAGCTTAAAATTTGTATGTAAATAAATTATCTTTAATTAAGTTTTGTAATAAATTTGATATTTGTCTTTTTAAATGTTTTCTATACCTGGAATGCTTAGTATTATTTAGGACTATATTGTATACTAAGTTATTTTTACTTGAGCTATTGGATGATTTTTATTAGCCTTTATTTTATTTTATTTTATTTTATTTTATTTCATTCCAACGGCAAAACCATTATACATTTCAATACAAGAAAGATGGCTAGGTACTATTTACATACTAAAAAAAATAATGGATACTGAGTGCTAACAAATACATAACATACAAGCAAATAAATAGTAGTAATAACAAACGATGCAACAACAACAACACTGTGGCTAATTAATAAACTATTGACATACCACAAAGAAGAATTTCTAGAAAGCTATCAGGCACACATGGAAGTTCCTTACTAGATAGTATAAATAAATATAACAAACAATATAAATAAATATAACAAACAATATAAATAAATATAACAAATAACAACAAATGACATTAACAACAACAGCAACAATAAGACTTTTCATATATGTTCAATGGTGTGACGGGCTTCGAGAACTCTTCTACGAACAGAGGAAGTATTCTCGTGGAAAAAGTCGACTGTGTGGCAGAATCGATTCCCAAGCCTCATAATTCTTGCAAGTGGGCTGTGAAAGTCGTAACCACGTGCATGATGCCTCCTGCCGAACAGATCCAGAGATCGGGTCACTGATGGAGTGCGGAAGTCCACCTGAGTGAGAAGCATTGGGCAGTCCAACAGGCCATTGATCAGCTTGGCGAGAAATACTACATCTGCCACTTCACGTCTGACTTGAAGATCATGGAGATGGAGGTCAGCCTGGAGATCAGCAAGTGGAACCTCCGTCCAACGAAGCCCCTGTCGTACTCCCACCAACCTTAGGAATTTCCTCTGCACAGCATCAAGCTCGTCAGTCAAACCAACTTGGTAAGGGGGCCAAACTGGGCTGGCATACTCTAGGAGTTGGCGTACAAAGGACGAATAAAGTGTTTTTAAAACAACAGGGCTTGTCATTCCACGAGTAGATCTAAAGATGTATCCCAATAGCCTGTGAGATCGTTTGCAGAGATCATAAACATGTTCATGAAAGGATAGATCAGCACTAAAGGTAACACCCAAATCCTTGATGGAAAACACCCTTTCTAATGGTTGTCCTTCCAATGTGTACTGGAATAGCAGAGGACAGCGTAGACGGCCGAAGGTCATTACAGAGCACTTAGAAAAGTTTAGTTTCATATTGTTTGTTCTACACCAATCCATGATACAATTAATACTAGACTGCAGTCGTAAAAAATCATCTTGGTTGGAGACCATCGTTAAAATTTTTGTAGTTTAGACCAAGGACATAGGCCTATTTTTAACTCAACGTACAATTTTGACGGAAAAACTCACAAGTCAACAAGATTATTTCTACAGCATATACAAAATGTTCAATAGAGAATATAGCGTTGACATGCCTTAAGTTTATTACGGCAATAAAGGATTTTCGTATTTGATACACTCCTGTGAAGGTTTTCAACGTCGACAACCGCGTGTTCAATGGCATTGTTACTTTTAACTTGCACTACCCTTAAGGATATTGGGCACTTTAAATTTACACTGACAATTATAAAATCCTTGTCACCGTATAGAATATTATAAAGACATCAACTCTATTTTTATAACAAATCGTACGACTTAAAATATTTACAAATTATAAAAATAATAATAAGGTATGTTATTTTGTTCACGGTTGTCGTTTTAACTTAAAGGCAACATAACCTGTGCAGTTAAGCATTAAGTTTCCATAAACATCTTAAAAAGTAAAGGGAGGATGTAAGTTATATAGGTTAATAAATATAAGAGTAAACATTTTTTTAAATATCAAGGAATAAAAAAAAACTTAAGTTAAACATATAAAAAATTTTATAAGTGTTTACAACAGGATATGCAATATACTTGCAGTATATGATCTTATCAAGAGTCAGTAATAGAATAATAAAAATTATTATCTTGGAACTTTGAAAACCTGTGGAGCAGAGCTCTAGGTCAACATCGTATCGGGAATACTTACTTCAGAAACAACAAAAGAGTTTTCTAGAACAACCTGACACACCAATATACCCATACATAAGCAGAAAACAAATTTAGGGAATGCAGAAACGTGTTGTACTATGAATATATAATATAATATCGTTAAATATTTATATTCTTAGATTATTAAACTAACTTAAGCGGATCTACATTAGAATTATATTGTAAGAATAAATTCATGAGATAGAGTACTGAATTAACCAGTACTGATTTGAATGGTTGAATTGATATTGGATATTGGCTGGTTCGAAATCACAGTAATCAGCATTCCCTTCGGTCAGCACTGATTATCTTTGGATGAGTTGTTGTTGAGTCAGAAGAATTCATAAAATTCATTGTAACTCATTGTAAAATTCATTGTTATTTTGCTGCCCTGGAACTATAATATACAGGGTGTCCCGGAACTCTCTACCAATATTTTAGGGCATTGATCCTGGGTAAGAAACGTACCTAAATAGCATATTCAAATTGTCCGGAAGTTATTAGTTACTCACACAGCCGCAATTTTGTTTTATTTCAGTTATTATTTTTTTCTAAAGAACGGTTAAACATACGAAATGGAAACTTTGCACAAACATTTATGACAACTAGACAAAGCTACAAAAAAATTATGAAGATTTTTCAAATTCGTAAAACAAAATGGCGGCAATTTAAAATTTTCTTTCTTAAATAACTCAAAAACCATTGATTTTACACAAATTTTAAATGGCCACCATTTTGTTTTATGAATTTGAAAAATCGTGATAATTTTTTTGTAGCTTTGTCTAGTTGTCATAAATGTTTGTGCAAAGTTTCCATTTCGTATGTTTAACTATTCTTTAGAAAAAAAAATAACTGAAAAAAACAAAATGGCGGCTGTGTGAGTAACTAAAGACTTCTGGACAGTTTAAATATGATATTTAGTTATGTTTCTTACCCAGGAGCAATGCCCTAAAATATTGGTAGAGAGTTCCGGGACACCCTGTATATTGAATTGGTTTTACATTACTTTTATCAGTTCCAAGTATTGATCTTCGTTAAGTTGGTACATGTTTACGACGTGACATAACCCCCAAATACGTCCAATTACGAATAAATAATAAAGCACCTGCTGCTCAGAGAATAAAATCTCTAGCACAAAAACTTTGGATAAAAAATGAAATAACATTTCTTTACAAGAAAATGAGTTTGCTTGTTTCATGTACAATAAGTACCTTAAGGTATGTAATTATCCACATCCTACCTAACTAGATGTCGTCTCATGTTGAATGATCTGTGAACTATAGAAAGAAGAAATTGGCGAAAAAAATTATCAACTTATGTAATGCACAGAAACCTAAAGAAAAAAAATTATGAGGAGGATTTGCGTACACTGGATAATGGTCTTAACACAACCTACCTAGAACTGGTCCTTAGAACATTAGACAACCGGTCGCTAAATGATTATTTAGGACTGTTCAAAATCTTAAGTTTGTTTTCTTTTTCTTTGTGAGGTAAGTAGTTACGAACACATGCATACAAAATTAATAAGTGGTGGGCTAGATAGGCCAAAAAATCAATGTCTGACTAATATAGAATTTTCTTTAACCAATGGTCACACTATACTTTAAAATGATCAATATTTCTTTGCTGATTTCGAATAAACTATTTTCAGGAGGAAGAATATTTCAAAAGTAATTTTTTATGCCAAAAACATTGTATTAAAAAGAAACTAATATGGACAATTTTACATTGGGCTTATTAAATTAATTGAGGCCAATAAAATTATTCTAGTGGAAACCACTTAATTTTTTATACTTTTATTGTCTATTTCCGAACGAAACTCTCTTCTACAAGTGTTCGGGACAGTAACCATGCAAACAATACTGTAAATAAAAACCAATATAAAAAAAAACAAGAACAAAATACTACAAACAGACAGTACGTGTTCAATAACAATTTAACTAGTTGGACCTTGTTTAAATTGAAAACTATTGTATTGCAAAAAGAGTTTAGGCGTTTTAGGGTGTAGTACTGAGGTGAAAAACTAAAATAACATTGTTCAACATACGAAATACGAAAATTAAAGTGACTGGGAATATTGTTGCAATACGTCCAGTAGCAATGTTAAACAACCCAAAATATAACATTACCGATTTGAATTATGTGCAGGGTAAGTAAGAGTATAATTAGTAAACTAGCCCAAAAATTTGTGCAAAACCTTTTGCACAAAATATCACTGAGTTGGGTGTAAGTAAAATATTTTAGCGAATTAGAAAAAAAGTAACCATCAATTTTGAAGGACTAATAAGAGTTTAAAAACTTACCTCAACTGGATATAAACTGCTTTTAAAACAAAAGTATTTACGAGACAATATGTTTTTCGAGGTTTTAAAAAGGATCCTATTGTTATTTTGTTAAAACACGTTTGTAGTTATAAAGGAAAAGTAAGCCTGTAAGCGAACATTGCAAATGTAATTATATTATTATACAATCTAAATTCAA